TGCCACCTACACTAGCAGCAAGTCCTTTGGAGAAAAAAGCTGGGGTGGCCCAGAGGTAGAGACCTATTTTTGTCTTGTTAGGTACTTGGTCTTCATTGTGGAGGCTACATAGAACTCTCCCTAGGGGCTTTGGCATATTTGTATTAACAGGGTACACGGCTGACAGGAAGATGAATTTGTGGGAGGTAAGATGAGAACTCTTAACAACCTAAGGGGTGGTGTCTATAAGAAGATAAAGCTCTGAACTGGTCATGGGAAAAGAAGAGAGAGGATTAATTTAAATAATGGTTGGAAGAAAATCTTTAGTTTCATTGAATTTGGGGTTGGAAAGTAGAAGAGTGAAAGATAGTGCCAGATAAGAGAGAGAAGCAGTTTAGGAAGGTGGAAGGTTTACTTTGGGACCCATGAGAACTTGTAAGAACATCTTTGTTAAGAAGCCCCACAGGTGGTGAAACCCTGGTCTACATCAGAGGGAAGAGCTAGATTTGAGAGAAGGATTTGGTGACTCAGAAGCATTTATGTGGCAGTTGATACTATAAAATGAGAGAAATCACCGAGAAAAATGTGTAGCATATGCAAAGAAAGGGGTTGTGAAAGGAACACTTGAGTTTCTGAAATTTAAGGGCCTATACAGGAGCTTTATGAAGCACCCTGAGAGTAACACCACAGAGTCCAGGGAGCAGAATGTTTGGGCTGGAGGGGGTGGCTGTGGTGTCATATGTGGAGTGCTCAGGGAACACTGCCATGGCAGAGGTGAGGTGGGAGATGAGCAGGCGCAGTATTTGAATCTGGAGGACTGTTTCCTCTTTCCAGCACATTACAAAGCACCAAGCTGGAGGGAAGATGGGTTCGGGACAGGCATTTTTAGGATGGGAAGACATGTGCCTTGAATTTACAAACTGAGGGGAAGAAATCAGGAGATAGGAGAGGCGGGAGACGAAGAACGAGGTCCAGAAGAAGCGAGTAAGTGGGCCTGGTGGGGAAGTATCATGGCAAGGATGGACTGGAAGAAAGGTGAGGAAGCATGTGGATGGATGTCTAACTTGTGAGGCATAGGGCGATGTCACATCTGTGGTCCTGTTTCTTGATGACGCTTACTCCATAAGACAAGGCCTTTTACTGAGAATGTTGTAAGGACTGAGAATAATCATTAAGGATAGTAAGATGTACCCAAGCACAAATAGGATTAGTAAGTGTTACTGTGGGCTCATTTGACTTTAATGACTTGAATTCATATTGATTATTTTTCTCTGGTATCTTCAGATGCCTAGAAATAGGAGTAGAAATTTACATTCTGCTGATACGAGCAGTGGTTTATTTTTTCCCTAACATTTTACTACACAAATTATCAAATATGAAAAAAAGTAGAAGAATATTATAGTGAACACTCATGTTCCCACCACTTACATGCCACTCTTTTTACTTGCTTCATCACTGTCTTAGTCATTTGCTTGTTGCTGGGACAAAATACCAAAACCTACAGTTTAAAGGAGAAGAGGTTTATTTTGACTCATGGTTTTTAGAGGATTCAGTCCATAGTTGGCTGGCTCCAAGGCAGAAGGGCATGGTGGAAGGGACTGGCAGAGGAAAGCTGCTCAGGTCATCGCAGCCAGGAAGCAGAAAAAGAAGGGAGGCACCAAGGAGGGAGATCTACCCTTCCAGGTCACACCCCAGTGACCTAACCTTTAACCAGGCCGTATCACCTAACAGCAAGTCAGCTATGAACTCATCAGTGGACTAATCCACTAATCAATACAACTGCCACATGATCCATTCACCCTCCAAACACGTGAGGCTTTTGGGGGACACCCCAGATCTAAACCATAACAACCAGGTATCTATCAAGATGATGATTTGAAATCAGTGCTTAATTATGGGAATTTTCGAATGTATGAAAGTAAAAGAAATAATACATTAATCATCCATTTTCAACAATATTATTTCATAAATTCCCCAGTAGCCTTTTCCAGGGAAATGGAGATAAAGTTTTGTGGAATGGAGTTGTTAGAAGCATAGGAATGCAATTTAATTATGGGTGTTGCAGCAAGAATTATTTTCTGATCAAACATGGAATCTTAGGTTGGTGGAGAAAGAAGAGGCCAGGAAGGAACTGAGAGATTTGAATAAAGCAGAAGGATCTGAGGTCTTACAACTGTGGAGAAAGTAAAAACAGCAATGGTGCAAGGAGTAGAGGAGGTGAGAAGAGGCTGTGACTGGGGAGTAGGATGTAAATTGCTGGGTGGAACACTTCCCAGGGGGGCATGTGTGTGGAAGAACTAGGGTGTGGCCGAGGAGGTGGGTGACAAAAATGGAGGGATAGCAAGGGTTATTGGATGTGAAGAGAGCAAGGATGTAGACAGTGTGGCAAGGAGGCCAGGACAGGGGCTTGGGAGCCAGGCTGGCTGGGCACACATTCTAGCTTTGCCACTCAGCAGCTGTGTGACCATGAGAAAGTTACATATGGACTCTGGGTCTTAGTGTCCTCATCTGTAAACTGTGGATAATAATAGTGTCCAGCTCCCAAGGTGTTGAGAGGATTAAATGAGGATTAACCATATAAAGTGCATTCAAACAATACCTGGCACATCATAAACATTCAAAAAATGCTAGTTCAAAAAAAAAACGTTAGCTCTTCTATCATGAGAGTTTCACCTAAATATTGAAGTCAGCAAGGCTGGTGGCAGGATTTGTGGTGGCAAATGCTACAGTGATGAGACTAGATACAGGGAAGACAGAAGATCCCAGAAGCTTATGTTTTCTGGGCTGACAAAGGCTCATTGAAGTATGATATGCTGTCTTTAAAAATAGAACTGATAGGAAGTACTTATATTATGGATGCAGGGTAAAAAATTTATTCTTTCAATTAATTCGTTCTCTAAAGCCTTGATATTACCGTTTAGTCTTCATAAGGATTCTTCTAGTAAAATGTTTTGTGCTACAAACATATGAAGTTAGACATAGATTCCTTCATTTTTACTTCTCCAAAGGTAGCCATTGTTGTATGTTAAAGATAAGTTGTTTCAGAAATATAGTGGCTATAGGCAGAGACATTATCCTCCAATTTTAGACTTCTTTCTAGAGTTAAGGAAAGAAAAAACAAAACAAACTGCCTAAGAATATTTTAAAAGTACCCAGATATTTGTCTGTAAATATGTTTCCAAATTTAATTAAGCTGAAACATGTCCTGCCAAATGAAATGTTTTTTTGCTTTTGCTCAAGCAGCTTTCTGACTCCCTCAAACTGTTAGTGGCAGAGTTTGTTTAAACCAGAGCTACCAAAGCTCGAAGGCTGGTTTGGGTTTGGGAGTTTAAAAGAAAACATGTGTTTTACTTCTTCTCCTTATGAAGAAGGGAGCATTTATTATGTAAATCCTGTTATAGTTTATGTAGATCATTGCACTTGGCCATCACACCAACCCAGTGAGGTCTACAATAATCTCATATTGTTATGACAGTGAAAGTTGTTGTGACAAACTAAGTGGTTAAGATTGTTGCCTGAGGAAGTCCATCCAGTATAGATGGTAGAACTCTAATTTAAGCCTTGGTCCATTAGACCTCGAGTCCTCGTCTTTTCTGCTGATGACTTGCCTTCTATAAAATTTACTGTGGCAATAATTTGTATTCTTCTCAATGTATTACTACAGTTACTACTCAGTTAAATCACTATTCATTTAAATGTAGGTCATCACGGGCTGAAGGACCTGCAAAATCTGCCTGGTTCCTCACCCTCCTTCATTCCCTTACTCAAGGTCAGCGAAACCCTCTCAACCACCAAATTTCAAATTGTAACACTCTCTCTTCCTCCCCCTTGCACTTTATCTCCTCCTCGGCTTCATTTTTCTCCATGATTCACACTACCTTGGGCAAGTGTGACAACAGAATTGGGGGGTGACTAGTGTCTCAGCTGACTAATGGGCCTGTCCAGTCCAAACCCTTCTTACACTACAGGAGTGTCTAACCTTGAGGCAGATTTGGGAGGGCTGGGTTGGCAGGACTGCTGCTGGGAAGTGGGGTTACAAGGCAATCTCAGCCAGGCACACTACATTCTAGGTCTGGGGTGATGGGGTTTTATCTCAGTATTACTTGTTGTTAGGAATGGGGTTCTTTGTGCTTCCCTAGGATGGATGATATAGCCTCCACTCTTTGGTAAAGATCTTCAGTGCCTATGCCTGGGCAGGACAAGGGCCTGGCACTCACAGAACTCACAGAAAGCATCTTCACAAGCCACCAAGTGATAATACTCAGTTTAAATTTTGATAAAATGTCTTCCACAAAAATGTGTATAAATAGAAATTCTTTGTGTTCTTGATGAAGTTGTAGCGCATAATGCTGATTTAACTGTCTGTCTTCTTCACAAAGCTGTGAGCTCCTTGCATGAGACTCTGTTTGGTTCATATCTGCTTACCCAGGACTTAAACCAGTCTCTGACTAGTCAAAGTCAAGAGCTAGATTCAAATTCTGCCTGTCACTTAACATAGTGCTAGATATTTGGAAGGTACTTACCATATGGTAACAGCTTTTAGTAGTATTTAATAATTTTGTATGATTACTTTTGGAGAAAGAATCAAATATGTTGAATGAATGAATCTTTTACATTAGGGAAATCATTAGAATTCTTTAGTTTTCGTGGTCTTAATATTAGGATGCTAATCAGGGAGACACAAGTTTATTGGAAATCTAAGAAATATGTAAAGTATGAAATATACTTATCTATGAAATTGGCACCTTTTCTTAAATCCATTTTTGAATCCTCAGCCCTAGGCATAGTACTTAACATATAGTAAACCTTCATTAAATTTTGAATGGTGAGCTCCAAAGCAAACCTGCTGGGCTACTGCTACCAAGGTAAACCTTAAGCAGCATTTGGATAGTCCACTTGGAAAATCACTTATATCTTGGGCAAATTGGATACCTCTAGAACTTCAAATAGAATACATAAGCTATTATTTAAGTTTTCAGAGTTCTGAGCTACATGTGTAATTCATTGAAATATGATTTCAGGTAAAACATGGGTACTCCAAGAGAGTCTGGTGTACACTCATAGGAAAGACGTTATATTATTTTCGTAGTCAAGAAGATAAGGTATGTATGTATTTTGATATGCTGATTAGAGGATTTTGTTTTGTTTGTTAATAGCTTAAACTTTTCCCTTTCACTGTTCTGTTGCTAAGAAAAACTTTAAAGTTTTTGATGAGGATGAACTTTTGGTGTTAAATGTATCACTGCAGTAAACACATACCTATCACCTTCAAGGGTTTTGATTCTTAATTATAAGCCTTAACTTTTCACTAATTCATCTTCTAAGATGAAGAAGAGAAAGCCTTCTTCCACCCCATCCCCACTGTCACTTTCTCATGTTTTCCCATGTTCTCACAGATGAGATGAGATTAGGAGAAAGAAACAGTGAGCTAGGAAAGAGAGGAAACAGAGTCCACTCTTGTCCCAGGCCCTCAAATTCTTGGATATCACTTACCTGTTCATCCATCTGCCTATTTATGTCTTGTTTATTCATTTTTAAACTAGCCTCCTCCCCCAAAGAACTCGAGTTATCATCTTCACTTTCAAAGTAAAAAGATAGGATGTCTGCCAAATGTCAATGGTATGCCCGGTCAGCCTCAGGGCACTCTGTGTCACTGTGGGATCACTAAAACTGTAAAAATGGAACCAGCATGGGCCATGAGTAATGTGAAGAAATAATGATCTCAGCTGCACAGAATGGCAGCCTTTGGCTGATTGGTGTGTTAATGAGAATAAATTTCTTGGTCCAGTGGCCATGTAAATCGATTAGTTTATTCTGTTCCATTTTTACAGACTGCACTTTGGGGTCTAATCAGCTGTGTTTAAAATACTTTCCACTATTCTCAGTATTGCTCATGGGATGGGAGTTAACACAGTATCTCCATTGAAAAGAATGCTTTAGAAGGAATGTGAGAAAATACATATAAATGGTACCTAAATAAGTACAGTGCAATGCTATGTATTCAGCATCATCCTAACTAACATATCAGTCAGGAAAACAGAAGCTACTCTATGTATTCTACCTATAAAAGTCTTTTTAAAAAATTTTTCTTTAATTCATTCTTTATTGGTACATTTTAGGTATACAACATGATAACATTCATCATTGGGAATTTGTACCTTTACATGATATATTTGGTTCTTATTTTTTTTCTCCATTTTCCTGCCCTCCCTTCCACCCCTCCAACCCTCCCTATTTACAAAATCTTTCAGTTTTTTCCTTTAAACCAGGTGTAGTGGTGCACACCTATAATCCGAGCAGTCTGGGAGGCTGAAGCTGGAGGATTGCAAGTTTGACCACAGCCCAGGCAATTTAGAGCCTCAGCAAGACCTTGTCTCAAAATAAAAATTAATTAACTACTTAATTTTTTTTAAAAGGTTGGGAATGTAGCTCAGTGTGAAGGCCCTGAGTTTTGTACCCAGTGCCGCAAAAAGGGGGGATCTTAATATTGAATTAGGGGTATATATAACTTGTAGAAAAGTTACACACTTTAAAAAGTGGAGGGAGTAAAGGGTGGGAACCTCCACTGCAGGTCAGAGAAGTCAGAACTGCAGATGTCAGACCAAAGCCCTGTGGCAGGCAGGTTGGCCTCGAGAGCTCCCTGGGAGGCCTCCAGATCTCATGTCTGCCCAGACATCTGGCTGCAGTGTCTCAGGAGATAAGGCCTTTCTTTCACCTTTACTACAGATTCTTTCACAGGCAAATCCTAACTTGGAACTATACAGGTTAGGAGAGTCTGGTAAATGTAGTTTCCAACTACTGTCCTGCAGTTATGGGTAGACCTTCAAGAGGGTGGTCAGGATGCTGTGTTTATAACTCCCAGTTCATCACCTCTAGGTAAAAATATGCATAGCACCTCAATCAGAACTGTACCAAAATGCTGCATGGCTTCTGTAATAATAGTATTACAGGTGATTTTTCCTTCTTTTTACAAATATCTTTCTATACTTGTAAAGTATCTATAATAAGTATGTATTGTCTTTCTAAATTGTAAACTGATTTAATAAAATCGATAGCATTGATCACAGAAGAAACTGAGAATGTAGATAAATGACAGAAATTCATTATAATTATTGGAAAAGTCTTGTGAATACATTTGAATCTGTAGAGGACCACTTCATTGTGTGCTGTAGATGTTTCCAAAATAATTTTGAAATCTTGGTCAGTGCCTTTATTTTTTATTAAGTCAAAATACTTACAAGCACTAGTTCCACTGGCTATCTGTGGAACTTTAGGTGTCCTTTGGTAAGATGAATAACCATATTGAATATTATGGTGGATGAGACACAGATTTTCTTAGAATTGGTATGCTTGGAGCATAAAATTAGGACAGTATTGTCTTGTATTATCATAGTAGAATTAGTTTTATCGCGTTTTAAAACCTGCTTTTTATTTATGAATGTAACTTTTTCTGCTTTATTATTTTACCTTTGATTTAGTATATTTCTTTTCCCAAAAGTGTAAATTAATTTTTCATTTTTTCTTTAAAAGAAAGTGCTTTATTCAATGGCAAGCATAATGCTTTGCACACAGTAGCTACTCAGTATATAATTGTTATTAAATGTGGAAAATCATGTTTGTCCTGAAGGACAATACATTTAATTAAATTAATGAGCTACTGGGCAAATAATATTGCATTCCCTATAGGATATCCAGTAAGGCCTCACTAAGAAGCTGACATTTTCCTTAAGTGCTGAAGGAAGTAAAAGAGCAGCCAGGAGCACATTGTGAGCAAGAGCACTCCTGGCAGAGGGTGCAGCAAGTGCAAAGGCTCCAAGGCAGGAACAGGCCTGGTGTGTTTGGGGAATCTCAAGGAAAGAGTGACTCCCCAGGAGCCTGTTAGGAAGAAAATAATAGGAGACAGGGTCAGAAATGTAACGGGCCAAATTATACAGGACCTTAGAGATCAAAGTAAAAAATCTGGCTTTTTAGAGGAGGTACAGTTTTACCTCTGCCTTCATAAGATTTTCAGTTGGCCTGAGAATTAAATTAACATAAGACAAATTATAGGAGAAAAGTGTACAAATTTATTTAATGTAAGTCTCACTTGACATAGGAGCCTTCATATGGAAATGAAGAACCAAAGACATAGAGCTGAACCCTTATGTATTGAACTGGACAAAGAGTAGTTAAGTTAAAAAGTATGATAAAGCAAAGGGAGTTGGACTAGGATCACCAGTTGGGTGGAGAAGTGACCAGCAAGATGAGGGCTAGTTTAACAAGCTTTGCTCCTACAAGTTTCCCTTGGCCTCAGCTTCCTGTCATTGCCAGTAAGAATCTTATTTTCCTTTTGTTACAGGAAGGATTTCTTCCATGTGAGTCTGATCTCTTGCCTTTGGGAAGAAAAAAAAGAGGGTCCAAGTACCCTTTTTGAATCTGTTTTTTTTTGGTTTTGTTTTGTTTTTTGGTACCAGGGATCAAACTCAGGACCTTGCTCTTGGGAGGCAGGCGGCAGAACCACTGAGCTAAATCCCCAGCCTAATCTGTTGTTTTTAAAAGATGCCTTTAGTTCAAAATAATCCTGATGTCAAAGAGGTTCTGCGTGTTCTGCTACCTTTGAGCTTTTGCTCTGAGTGACATGGGAAGTCCTGGAGCCTTTTTAGCAGAGCAGGCAAATGTTTCTACCATGTCCAATGGGAACAGTTGGCTTCTATTTAGAAATAGACTGAAGGGAAGGAGTATGAGCCTACCATTGTCAGAAGGCTCTTACAGTAATTCCTGAAAGAGATGGCTGGGATTAGTGGTGGCAGTGGAGATCTGAAATGTGATCAGAGTCTGGATATACACAACAGTTTTGCTGATAGGATTTATTGAGGATTTAAAGGTCTGAGGGAGGAGAGAAAGACAAGGCTCAGCGAGGATGCCAAAGTGTTTGGCCTAAACAGCTAGAAAAATAAAGTCACCAACAACTGACCTGGGGAAGACTGGGTGGAGCAGGGTGTTGAGGTAACTTTACAAGGTGAGTTTGAGATGGTAAACATCTGAGATCTTGAGTCTGAAGCCATGCATTTGGGAAGAGCTATCATGTGATATGATTAAAACCAGGAGCTTGGCTGAGATCACCCAGGGAATGAGTGTAGATGGAAAGAGGCCCAGCACTGAGCCCTGGAACCCAGCCTGAAAATGTGTGATGGTAAACGTCCTCATGGTTAGAATGGACTTTTTCAGAACTGCAATTGCAAACCTGGCCAAATGTTTTAGAGGTTATAAATCTGAAGCACATTGCGTATTTTCCTGGAATAAATGTACTTAATTAAAGTATAAGTTTGAAAACAGATACAGTAAATATCCAACATGGCAGATATATTTGCTTAGATCACTAAAAGGGTAGATAAAATTTAATGTAAATTCACCATAGGATGGTTTCATTGCCCTTAAATTAAGATACAGGCAATTAATACATTGTTTTGAGACATAATTACATATTTAATAGCCTTCAAACACTCCTCATTTCCTGGGATCTGGGGTGAAATTTAATCGTTGTACTGGTTGTCTACTTTTGTTTTTTGGGGTTTTTTTTGGGTACCGGGGATTGAACTTGGGTCCTTGCGCTTGCGCAGCAGGTGGCAAAACCACTGAGCTAAATCCCTGGCCCTTGTTATTTTTTTCTATGAACAGTTTTTCGACTATGTCCTTTTGATCCAGTAGCTTAAATCACTGACCAACTCTGTAGGTGAAACAAATCAACTTTTTGGTAATGAGTCATTTTAGTCTAACTGAATAATCTGAACCACTGCTTCTTGCTTTTTCATGTTGCTTTTTGTATCATAATTGGGCATATTTCTTGTTACTACTACTACTACATTTGTAGCAATATGAATAATCATATGATTATCTCAGCATTTGATTTTTTAAAAAGGTATACTCACTGGGTGTGGGTGGTGGCACACACATATAGCTCCAGCTAGCTCTCTTGGAGGCTGAGACAGGAGAACACAAGTTCAAGCCCAGTCTGGGCAACTTAGTGGCTTAATGAGACCCTGTCTCAAAATTAAAAATAAAAAAAATTAAAGGGCTGGAGATGTACCTGGGTCCAATCCCAGTAACACACACACACACACACACACACACACACACACACACGCACACACACACACACACACACACACACGCACACGCAGTATGCCTTTTAAAGGTAAAAATGAAAAGAACCACAAAAACTCTTAGTGGGAGAAGTCTTAGAAAGTAGCTTCCTTAAAATTGCTAACATTTTCTTTAGTTTCCTTTAGGTCAGATCAAACTGTGGGAGGCTAAAGTTGAAGAAGTGGACAGGTCCTGTGATTCAGATGAAGATTATGAAGCCAGTGGGCGCAGTCTGTTATCCACTCATCACACTATCGTTGTCCACCCCAAAGACCAAGGTCCGACTTACCTCCTAATTGGATCCAAGTATGAAAAGGTATTTAAAGACATTCTGGTTGATTTTAAATGATTCAGACCAATATTCAGCTATTGGTAGATAATATTTAAATCAGTTTTGTGGAAATGAGAAGAGAATTTTGCTAAAGACTCTCAGCAATATTTTCAGAGATTCTTAACCTCTTTGGAAATGGGCCATGTTTGAAGGTATCATTTTCAGTCTTATTGATAAATTGTTATCTCAAGGCTGAAATTAGTGCATGACACTGGAGGACAAGAGAACTTCATGTGTAAAAATGTGGATCTCACCCCCTGGATATCTTTTGGTAAATCTAAGGCTTCTACTTTATATTTTTGACTAATTGTTAATAAAATTTTGGTTTTTATATCATTGAGAATTAATTATTTTATGTATTATATGTATGAATAGTCATATATATATAAAGGAGGGATCACAAATTAATGTGGAAGTATTGGATAATGTGTTTATTATATATAGTATATGTTTATTATGTAGTGACAAAATTGGGTATTAGGATAAAACAATACTTTTCACCCCTCACATATAGAAAAATAATTTCCAGATGAATTTAAAAGAGTTCAATAAAATTATTTTTTTTAAAGCCTTTAGCACCTTGAGAGGCTGAGGCAGGAGGATCACAAGTTCAAGGTCATCCTGGGATATATAGTGAGTTCAAGGCCAGCCTGGACTACACAGTGAGACCCTATCTCAAAAATGAAAAAAAAAGACTTTATCCAATCTATGAATAGAAAGTACTTTCTAAGAAAAAAGGTCTCTTCTTGCAAGAAACCGAGTTGCTATCTAAACCCATATCTCTGATGCCAGAGCCTGTGTTTCTGATGCTTGCCTCTGTTGCCTCCCATTTGATGTGAGAGACTTTGTTTTCAGCAGAAAAGTGAGAAGAGGACTTAGCAAACAATTTACTGTGGAGGTTAATGGCTATTTAATGTTTAGACTCATTTATAATCAAATAAATGGAAAAATTTAAAAATTATAAAGCTTTTCTCTCCGAAATTATCAGAGATTTTTAAAAATTATGTTAGTGCAACTATAGTGAGAGAAGTTCTCCACACAGCACTGAAGAAAGTATACATTTGTGTACACACTCTGGGAAGCACTTTCAAAGCATGTTCCAAGAATTCTGACAAATATTCCTACCCTAGTCATGACCTATGTCATGACTTTGAAGTCTTTGAAGAATATATACTAAAGAAATATTTGTAAATGCAACCAAAGATCTATATATAAATTTATTGGCTATAATATTCTTTTTAACATAATTCCATCTCTGAAATATTTAAAACACAAAAAATGTAGCATATACGCTTTTAATTAAGAAATGTTAGATGTCGCAGTATTTTTATCAGTGAGAAATTAATAGCTATCTAAATGTTTAACAGTAGAAAATTGATTAAATAAATATACTATGGCTATATAATAGAATATCCTGTAGCCGTTAAAACTTGTTTGTATAATCCCATCACTCACAAGGCTGTTGTAGCAGGATGTGAGTTCCAGGGCAGGCTGAGCTACATAATGACTTCAAGGCCAACATGGACTACATAGCAAAACCCTGTCTCAAAAAAATACCCACGAAATTCATATATAACAGATTTCTAGAAACCAGGGCATTTCTGTACTTTACTAGTTAAATTCAGAAGTTATAATAATATATTTTAGCATAATTGTAAAAATTTAATCTCCATATATATTTTCACAGAAGAAATAATAGACAAGTAGTTATCTGTGGAGAGTGGGACAAATTGGATATCATTTTCTTCTTTAAATTTTCAGGATTTTCTAAGTATTGCTCTCAGAGTAATGTATTGCTCTGGAAGTAGGATTTTATATTGGATAAAATTTTTGTACTGCTAAAAAGAATATTAGCTTGCATTTATTCTAGTCTCTTAACATGTATTAGTCTTAATTTTGTCATGCTTTTCTAAGAAACATGTATAGAAAATAATAAAAATGTGAACAATAGGAAAAGGTAATATGAACACAGTTCACATGAGCCCTTCTCAGAGGCTTCTAGTTATTTAAAAATTAAAGAAAATGGTTTCTATTCAGTCTCAAAATTCCCTGCTGTTTATGCAAGTTATTTTCCTTTAGTAATCAAAACTGTATCTTGGTTAATATTTCTAATACTATGTTTTGATTTTTAAGGACACTTGGCTTTATCATCTGACTGTTGCAGCTGGAAGTAACAATGTAAATGTTGGATCTGAATTTGAACAACTCGTTTGCAAATTACTAAATATAGAAGGGGAACCTTGTAAGTTGAGAAGCATATAAACCTTATGGTTTGTGTACCGAACTCCAACCCCCTTAGCCTATTGGAGTTTTTGCTGTGTGGACTGTCTTGTTTCCCTGTTGTTTACCCAGCTTGTCATTGTAATGGGCCAGAATTATCTTTGGGGTTCTTAGGCTCCAGGGATGCCATCAGTCCCCAAGGCGCTGTGTCCTGCTACACCCCTTTGCCCCACTCACATTGCTCTCTCTGCTTGGAATGCCCCTTTCCTCGGAGTCCTTACCAACCTGCTGAAATCCCACCTAGCCTTAGGAGACCCCTTCCACTCCAGCTCACCATCTGACTCACAAAAGGTGCTTAATCGGTGTTAAAGTCATGTCACTTAACTTTGCCCCTTAACTCTTTTAAAGCATTTGTAGCTTTGTGTTGAAATTATCTTTTATGGCCAAGGGTTCCCACTGCGAGTCAAGATTCTATCCTGTTCTTGAACAGAGACCACATTTTATGTACAGTGTCCCGAATAGAGACTTAATTAATATTGATTTTGGGAATTACTTCTAGTTCTGCTTTATCTTGATATCTTCTCCTACTTGGGCTCTTTCTGTATCTCTCCTCACTCCTTCTCATGCCCTACTTAGGTCACCACCTGTTGGCCCATTTAAGCAACATGACAGTGCCCTGGGAGACACGTTGCAGGTCAGCAAATTAGAACCCCAAATTTTCTTCATTTACTTTATCCAAAACAGAAACATAAGTGTCACAATGGCCTGGCAACTGAAATAAAATAACAGCATCAAAGGTTTCCCTGACCTTTGTGATGAAAGTTGTGAGCCAGACCTGATTGAGCTAACTTCTAGAGGGTTAATCGAATGGGAAGCTGAAATAATGGATCATTCTGTTTTCCATTCCTGTGTTCTCCTTCTAGCCTCCCAGATTTGGAGACATCCCACTTTGTGTCACAGCAAAGAAGGAATCCTTTTCCCTCTGACAACACTGCCTTCTGAAGCTCTACAGACAGAGGCTATAAAGTTATTTAAGGTAAAAGAATTATATGTTGGTAAATAACTGAACCGAATTTAAAAATAATAACTTTGGTTATAAACTTTCAGTCTAACAATATTTAAAATGTAAGTTTTATTAAGAAAAATTTATTGAAATAAAATTAGTTGAATTTAATATGGTTCCTGAGTAACGAATGATTTGGGGTTTACTGAAATAGACTGTGTGTGCTTTAGGCAATAGAAACATTTGATATCAAAAGATATTTCCCATTCACTTCTCAGATGAAAAGATTTTTCACATCAGGTCAGCCTGAGTACTGGGAGAGGAGCCAGCAGTCTCCTGTCCAGCTCTACCCTTAGATTCTTCTTTCTCAGTCTCTATTAGAACTTACTGATCACTTGAAACTTGTTCTCCAACTATATCACTTTGTTTTCTCAATTTTTATTTTTTATTAGTACATGTTTATATTCCTTGTGCTGAGTTGGCACATGTATATAACACATCTTAATTCTCTCTTCATCCGTTTTCCCTCTGTTCCCTTCCCCCTTGCTCCATCTCTGATCCCCTTCCCTTTTCAAAAGATCTACCTCCTTTTTTTCTATTATCTATTTTATTTTGCTCTTTATTTCTATTTTGGGATTCTCATATAAGAGAAACCATGGGATATTTAAGCTTGTGTGTCTGTTTTACTTCACTTTACACTATGGTCACAAGGTGCATCCATTTTCCTACAAATGCCTCAAGTTTATCCTTCCTATGGCAGAATAGTTCTCCATTGTGTATACATATCACACTTCTTTATCCATTCATCTGTTGATGAACATCTAAGGTCTTCCAAGATTTAGCTGTTATGAATTGTGTTACTGTAAACGTAAGTATACATGTGTCACTGTAATATGATGTCTCTAGCTCTCTTAGGAAAATACCTAACAGGGGAATAGCTGGGTTGAATGGAATTTCTATTTTTTAGTGTTTTGAGGAATCTCTGCACTGATTTCCATAGTGCTGGTACCAATGGTCTCTGATACATTCCCACCAACAGTCTACAAGGGTTTCTTTCTCCCTGCAGCCTCTTTAGCATTTGTTATTATTTGATTTCTTGATGATAGCTGTCCTTTCTGGGGTAAACTGGAAGCTCAGAGTTTGCATTTCTCAGAGATGTTGAACATTTTTTATGTATTTATTGGTGATCTGTACTTCTTCAGTGAAGTATCTATTTCAGTTGCCCATTTTTTTATTGGATCTTTTGTGTTGATGGGGTCTAATGTCTTTGAGTTCTTTATGTATTCTAGATATTAGTTCTCTGTTCAAGGAATAGCTGGCAAAAATATTTCTCATTCTGTAAGTATCTCTTCACTCTGTTGATGGTTTCCTTTGCTGTGGAGAAATTTTTAATTTGATATGATCCCATTTGTTTACTCTTGGAACTATTTCTTGTGCAATTGGGGTTCTAATCAGAAAGAATAGAACTTTAGAATAGCATACCTATTTCATTTTCCAGAAGATTAAGTGGTTTTGTTTTAACACTTGTTTCTTTGATCCATTTCGATTTTAGTTTAGTACATGGTGAATGCTATTCAGTGTTCTGCATGTAGAAAGCCAATTTGCTCAGCACCACTTGTTAAAGAGGCTATATTTCCTCCAGCATCAGACATACAAGTTTAAATATCACATAGTTTCTCTTATATGAGAAACCCAAAGTATAAGTAAAGAGCAAAATAAAAGATAAATAATAGAAAATAGGGAGAGAGATCTTTCTCAAATGTGAAGGGTGTCGAGAGATGGAGGGAGTGGGGAAGGGAGGGAGAGGGGATGAAAAAAGAATTAAGATGTGTTACGTACATGTACCAACATGACACAAGGAATGTAAATATTATGTACTGCAAACATGTACAGTACTAATAAAAAATAAATTTTTTTTCTTCTGAGAATTGATAAGTATACATGTATACAGAAATCACCCAAGACTGGAGAGAAAACTACCAGAAAGGAATAGGCAGAAAACTTCCTGGAGCTCACACAGAGCTGGAAATTGTTTCTGTATCATCTAGAAGGAAGAGATTGCCTAAAACATTGGGCATCAATTACGATAGTCAAGATTATTGCCTGAGTAATGGGCCCAAAGTAGTCCTGGGCCAATAGTGACAAACCTATGGCACATGTGCCACAGTGGGGTGTTTGTATCATTGAAGCTCCAAAATGTTCACTATCACTGTCCTAGACTGATGGAAATCTAAAAAAAGCCTTGAAAGAATCAAGCTATTTCAAAGTAATTTAACTATATCTAAGAGCAAAGCTCAACAATATTTAAAGAATACCAAAAAATTCAGTTCCCAACACTACAAAGTTTACAATGTCTGCATCAAATTTAAAAATCACAGTCGAGAGCCAGGTGTGGTGGTGCACACGTCCAGTCCCAGCACTGAGGGACTGAGGCAGAAGGTTCAAGGCCAGCCTGAACTACACAATGAGACCCTATCTCAAAAAAAACAAAGAAAATAATCACAGGAATACAAGAATTGGGTTAAATATGACATGTAATGATGAGAAAAGCAATCACAGAAATCTCTCTAGAAATGATACAGGTGATAACACAAGGACATTTCTGTGTACTAGTTATCTATTACTACATTTAAAAATTTCCCCCAACATTTAGTGGCTTAGAACAACAAACATTTAATATTTCACACAGATTCAGAGGGCCAGGAATTTGGAAGCATTTATCTGGATAGTCCTGGCTCAGCATCTCAGGAAGTTGTTGTCAACCGATTAGCTGGGGCATCTGAAACCTGAGTGTGACAGAGGGATCCAGACCTGCTCGCATGGCTGTTGGCAGGAAGCCTCTGTTTCTTACTGCATGGTTCTCTCCTTATAACTGCTCAAGACATGACAGTTGCCTCCCCCAACAGCTAACCATCTGAGAAGGAAATGAACAGCTAAGATGGAAGCCACGTTTTTTTATAACCTAATCCCAGAAATGGCATGGCACTTTCTATTGGCCCCACAAATTAACCTTTTACAATATGGGAGGACATTATTTGAGGCTCTGAATATTGGAATTGGAGGTTGCTAGGGGCCATATGAACATTTTAAGAAGGGTAATTAAAGGTATTTAAAAGATCCAAATGGAAAATTTAGAGCTGAAAATACAGTGACTAAAATGAATAGTATACTGGATGAGATGAACATGTACAGTATGTTGAAGCTCCAGTATTATATACATGTTTAGAATATTTATGTCCTTTAGATGAATCAACTCATTTATCATTATAAGGATGATCCTCATTATCTCTGGCAGAATTTCTTGCTCTGAAATCTAGTCAGCTATTATCATAGCTACTCAGGATTTCTTTTGATTAGTATTAACTTAATATATCTTTCCCCATCATTTTAAAACAAAAACTATTTCTAAAAAGAGAATGAGTAGATTTCATGCAGAAGAAATCTAATCATTTCTTACCTTATCACTTTTTAAACTTCAGACCTGCCAGCTTTTTATAAATGCTGCAGTTGACTCCCCTGCGATTGATTACCATATATCTCTAGCCCAGAGCGCTTTGCAGATCTGTCTGACACATCCTGAACTACAGAATGAAATTTGCTGTCAGCTTATTAAACAGACAAGACGAAGACAGCCACAGAATCAACCAGGACCATTGCAGGTATATATTGATATGTGTATATATATATATATATATATATACGTGCAATTAAAAATGATGTTGTTCTCTTGATTATAAGAATGATGCATTTAGCATAGATGTTTGGAAAATACAAAAAGTAAAAGAAAAAATAGCTATTAATATTTTGATCGATGTCTTTTTGGTTTACATATCAAAATGTTTCTATATAAATATATATGTATAGACTTATGCACAGTTTTTCATACTACTGAAGTTACACTGCATCTTTTACATTTTTAAACTGTAGAACATAATCACTTCACTTATATCCTAAACATTCTTCAAAACATTAATGGTCATATTAATACCAACTACTATATATTTAGGTTTTTCCAAATATTTTTTCTATAATAAATTCCTTTACAGTAGACATCTTTGAAAGTAAATCTTATTGTAAAGATCCACTGAATTCCTTTTAGCCCAATTTCCATATATTGTCAGTAACATTCAATATAATTATGTCTTTAAATTCTTTCCAGGATAAAAAGTAATATTTTACTCTTGATTTGGGATGTGTTTCTATAATTGTTAATGCGGTTAAATATATTTTCAGGTGTTTTTTTAGTTACTTGTGTTTATTCTTTAATGAATCCCCGTTTTGGTGGCAATTTGTTGTTTATTTGTTTTACTGGGACTTGAACCCAGGGCCTTCACATTGAGCTATATCCCCAACCCTTTTTATTTCAGACAGGGTCTTCTTAAGTCACTGAGTTGCCCAGGCTGGGCGGGAACTTGTGATCCTTTTGCCTCAGCTTCCAGATTGCTAGGGATACAGGTGTGCCCCAACATGCCTGGCTGGATTCCTGGTTGTTGTTTTTTTTTTTTTGGTACTGGGGATTGAACTCAGGATCTTGAGCTTGTGAGGCAGGTGGTGTAACCACTAAGCTAAATCCCCAGCCCCTCCTGTATTTTTTTTTCCTCCTGGTTTTATCTTTGCCTATTGACTCCTTGTTTACCACAGAATAAAACTGAAATTTCTTATCCTAGTGTATAGAATTGTTAGGTTTAGATCCAAGTTTCAGGAGACTTGAAGCTAATACAATTTGAGAAATCCTCTTTAAGAAAAAAAAGAATACAAAATATATTACTTCTCTGCATCTTTAAAAGCATAACCATGTAAACACAGTTGATAGTGCCAGTGCCCTTCATGGGGCCCTGGGAGGGGCCTATAGAAGAGAAAGGTTCTGAAGCTCCAGTTCATAAGCTTATGCCACTGGCCACTATTTCTCCACTTCCTGCTTCCAGCAAACAGTGAATGAATAAACTCTCCCTGTTCTTCAAACACACCCTGCCTTTGCAGTGTTCTTTACCTTGTACCTGGCACTATCTGTTACCTGGATTCCTCTGCCTTCCTTCCCACTTGCAGACTTCACTCACCCAAGTTACATCTTCCCTGTGAATCCTTTCATGACCCCCCCAGCAGTTAGTCATTCCCTCCATTGGTTAGACTTAAAAACATTAATTCATAGTATTACTATGTTATATGGTAATTTGCTGTTTAGATATTGTTGTAGTCAGGGTTTTGGCAAGGGAATACATTAAATACAGGACACATAACTTGCAGGATTATTTTATGATGTTTATCCAAAAAGTCAAATGCAAAGGAGTACAAGAGATTAACCACACACTAGAGGCCCAAGAATACAGCCAAGGGCCGAGATCCCATGGCAATGTCCCACAGAAGTCTAGCTAAAGGCCTAGAGTCCAAGGTAATGTCCCCCACAAGTCCAGCCAGTGGGCTAGAGCCCACGTTGCCCATTAGTCAATCCACCACAGATATGTAACTGTCTCCTACTAGACTGTCAGCTTCTCAAAGGCAGGAACAGTGCCTAAGCCCTCCTCCATTTTTGTATAATATTTTAAAAATTACTGGTTATATTTGCTTAGTGAAAAAAAATATATAGGAAGGAGAATACAAAGCAGAGCAAAGGAAAAATAAAAATCATATCTAAACCTCTGTTAAGATTTTTTTTTCCCATTAAACTTTATTGATACATTTTAGGTATAAAATACAGGGTTTTTTCCCCTTCCCTTGCCCTCCCTTCACCCCCTCCACCCTTCCCTATTTGCAAAGACCTTGTTTCCATTTTTTTCCCTCTTCTCATATTTTTTCCTTTCCCTTTTTTCCCTTCCCCTACCCCTCCCAATTCCCCTGCTCTTTTAGACCTTTTCTTCCTGTTACACAATATCAGTTATACATTTTGTAAATTACAATATTAAGATCTAGGAGACATTACCACAGATTTTACAGAATTTAAAAGGATATAGAAAGCATATTACAAAAATCTTTTTTGAAATAAATTTGACAACTTCTAAGAAGTAACTTAGAAGACAAATTAATGAAACTAACTCGGGAGGAAATATAAAATTTGAATAGCACCTATTAAAGAAAGTATATTCCTAGCTTGAAAACCTACCTGTATGACAACAGCAGGCTCATAAATGTTTTAACTGATAAATTATATCAAACATTTAAAGCAGAAAAAAAAAGGAACACTTCTCCCCTCATTTTAGGAAATCAACATTGTGCTAATCCTAAAACTGGATAAAGATAATAGAAGAAAAAAGTATGAACATAGATAGAAATTTGTTTGACAAAACAAACTCGTAGAAGTCAGATCTGGCAGTATGTAGAAAGTGGTTTTGTTATAGGGATGGCAGTGTTTGTTCAGCATTGGAAGATCCATCCGCAAAAGTAATCATTTTAACAGAGGAAAGGAGAAAGCCATATGATCCTGTCAGTAGTTGGAGAAAGAGTATTGGACTAAATTCTACAGCTGTTCATAGTAAAAGCTATCAGGAGACTAGAAGTAGAACAGAAACTTCTCAGCAGATTAAAGACATGTACTCCATACTTCCAACAAAAACTCCTATGAATGGAGATGATACAATGCTTTCTCCCTAAAGTGGGGAACAAGGGCAAATATGCCTACTCTTCATCTGTCCATTAGACTTTGAAACATAGGTCTAAACCAAAATAGTCTGGCAATAAAATGACACAACTAGGATAGGATTGGCACGGCAGAAGCAAAATCTTTATATGTAGATGAAATGATCATCTACAGAGAAAATACTAAGAAATCTCTAGGAGCCTGTAGAACTTGTACTTGAATTTAGCAGGATTAGAAAACCCAAGGTATATATAAAAATTCAGGTCTGTATACTTGCTATAAATGAAGAACTGGATATTGAAATTTAAAAGTTGTGTAGGAGTACAAAGGACCCAGAAAAGCCAAAAACAAACACAAAAACAGTGTTGGGAGACGTTTAGTACCTAATTTTAAGACTTCTTCTAAAGCTACAGTAATCAAGGCAGTGTTGGTGTAAGGAAAGACATATAGATCATTTGAATAAAACAGAGAATCTAGAAATAGAACCACACATATATGGTCCACTGAGCTTTGAAAGATTATTTAACATTAGAATTTTATAGAATATAAACTCAATTCAAGAGCCAAGGAAGAGAAAGTGTTTTCAGCAAACGGCACTAGAACACCTGGTATCCGTATATAAAAAATTAACCTCAACCCTGTTTTTCCATACATGAAAATAACTTGAAGGGATCTATGAACCTAAATAAGAAAGCCTAAAAGTGTAAAACTTGAAGAAGAAATTATAAGGGAAAATATTTATGAATTCAGGGTGGGCAAGAACTAACTAGGATACAAAAAACATGATGTATAAAAGAAAAAAATTGATAAATGAGATTCCATCAAAATTTAGAACTTTAAATGACATCATTAAAATGAAAAGTAGTCCTTAAACAGACCATATTTACAATGCATATAACCTATGAGCAGAATATATAAAGAATTCTTAGAGCTCATTAATAGACAACCCAATTAAAATGTATACATAAGAAGATCTTATCTTCTGTTAAGATTTTTATACTCGCCACATATGAGGGGGGAGATGGGTTTTGGTTTTGAGTATATGATTTTTTTGTAATGTTATAATCTGCCTTTCTTGAAGTTTTTTATATTCAATGAATGAGTAAATACATACTTGAACAAAAACAATGTCCCTAATCTTTGAGTGTGATACCAAAAATACTACCACATCTACTAGTGCTTTCGTACCTCAGTTGTAGACAATAGTGTACCAGTTACCAGTTACCCAATGTAGAATTTCTTTTTTTTTTCCCAATGCAGAATTTCTATGCTTTTAATGTAGTATAAATGCTCTAAAGAGATCACGAACATATGGGGGAAACAAAACATTTTTCGTTGTGCTCCTAGCCTGTGTCAGGCACACTCCCCTGCCGTGGTGTGTGACGCATGCTATGTAACCTACCGCGCTTCTCTCTGTCCAGGGCTGGCAGCTCTTGGCGCTCTGTGTTGGGCTCTTCCTTCCCCATCACCCTTTCCTGTGGCTCCTCAGGCTCCATCTAAAGAGGAATGCAGATTCCAGGTGGGCACAAAACTGAACTGTTTATGTGGCCTCTGAAAGTCTACAAAAAAATCATAAGTATTTTAAAATGTTACATTTTCAGAAGAATGTGTGAAACAAATATTGGTATAGGAAGCCTTTGGTTACCATTGATATGGAGCTTAGAAAGAATTTCTTTTGTCATGTTAAATCTCTTAGGGGGGATTGCAGTAAAAGCTTGAAAATCAATAAAGCAAAGGACATTTTCAAGTGAAAAGTCTATGTGCATTTCAAGTATGAATGACTTAGCATTAGTGGGTGCTCATTCAATAAAAGCAACTATTTTATTTCCTCAGTTTTCCCTTTTACTGTTTTTTCCCACATTGAATTCTTCTTTGTGGAAAACTTTCCTATGGTCTTCCCTGGGCTTTCATAGTTGTAAGTGTATGAATTACTTCAGAATTTTTACTGCCTTAAAAAAGACATTTCAGATCCAATAATCAGAATAGCTTTCTTAGAATGGGACCCAGGACACTCAGGCAGAGCTTACCCAGAATCATTCTGCCCAACCAGAGGTTCATGTTAGATTAGTTAATAGACTGTGGGGCTAACACAAACAAATGTACAGTGAAAACAAAAAGCAACTTGGAAACAAGTGGAAAATACCCTGCAGTTCACCACACATTCTAGGGCCTCTTTGCTTAAGGTTACATGACTGCTATGACAGTCATTTGAATATGAATATATTTAGAGGGTTATCACTCTACTTTTATAAACAAAGATTACATGTAATTTTTATATTACTTACAAATAGAGAAAAAGATCATACTCTAACTTTTTACATTATTTACCCTACTAGTTTTGTTTAATGCTTAACATTTTTAACAAGTGCATATTTTGTAACATAAGAAGGAAAACATTTTTATTTTTTGTCTAAAGATGTTTTCTTACTGAAGCATTAGCCTCCAGTTCTTCAAGAGAACTCTCTACATCATGTTTTTTAAATTACCCTATACTATTCTTTATATAATTGTTTTCTTTATATTTGTCAATATGATCATTATATATTGACTGTATAATTACTGATAATTTTATTTTGTTTTACTGGTTTTTTTTTTTTTTGGTACTGGGGATCAAACTCAGGTCCTTGTGCTTGTGAGGTAGGGGGTGTAACCACTGAGCCCCAATTACTGATAATTTTGAATCCAGTTTGTTACTATAATAATACAAAAAAGCCAGATGTGCTAGCACAGACCTCTAATCCCAAGTACTTTGAGAGGCTGAGGCAGGAGGATTGCATATTTGAGGCCAGTTTGGGCAAGCTAGTGAGACCTTGTCTCAAAATTTAAAAATAGAGGGGCCTGGGATTTAGCTCAGTGGTTCCGCCACCTGCCTTGCAAGCACAAGGTCCTGAGTTTGATCCCCGGTACCAAATAAATAAATAAATAAATAAAAATGAAAAAATAGAAAGGGATGTAGCTCAGTGGTAAAGTGCACCAGGGTTCAGTTCCCAGTACCACAAACAAAACAAAGCAAAACAATACAAAAAGATGAAGATTGCTTTGTAGAAATGTTTGAGTCAATCTGTTGCAAAAGAAAAGAAATTAGAATTTGAGAAAAGTTAGAGCACTTTTAATATTGTCATTTAAAATAAAAAGAACTGTCAAAATGAGCATAATACATTGTAATAATAAACAGCATGGGAAGCTTTCTTAATGGGTACATATATTAGATTATCTTAATTAAATTTATTCTCAGATTTTATCTTAAGTTTTATATTACAGGACAGAATTTGGAAAATATGCCATTTACTGCCAGCGATGTGTAGAAAGAACACAACAGAATGGAGATCGAGAAGCAAGACCCTCAAGAATGGAAATTCTTTCCACCCTTCTTCGAAATCCTTATCATCATTCACTGCCCTTCAGTATACCAGTGCACTTCATGAATGGGCTCTACCAGGTGGGTTAGCCTTTTTACCATAACAAAAATATGCCTGGGCACGAATCCTGTGTGTAATCCCAGTAGAATACAGAAGCGAGACTACCCAGTGTGGTCAGCAGCTGGCAATACAATCTTCTGTCACAACAGGTGAGTGTTGAGATAGGTGTGATAGTGCACATTGGAATCCCAGCAGGGGCTGGGGATTTAGCTCAGTGGTTCAGGCACCTGCCTCGCAAGCGCAAGGTCCCAAGTTCAATCCCTGGTACCAAAAAAAAAGAAAGGCATGAAGAATCCCAGTACTCGGGAGGCTGAGACAGGAAGATCACAAGTTCAAGGCCAGCTTGGACTACACAGCAAAACTCTGTCTCAAAAAAAACAAAAGCAAACAAACAGCTCAGTTTTGAAACAGTTTTACTAAAAAGGCTTCACACTAAAAACAAATCCACATTGAACCAAATAAGAGATGAGTTTCACTGTCATTGTAATCCTGATAGAGAAAACCAAAGACACTTTGGTCAAGTGTTTCCTCATCCGTGTACCTTCTAGGTAAGCAAATGATTACTCACAGTGGGTATGTACAATTGTAATCTTTTATTTATTTATTTATTTATTTATTTATTTATTTATTTGGTCTGGGGATTGAACTCAGGACCTTGCACTTGTGAGGCAGGCAGCGGAACCACTGAGCTAAATTCCTGGCCCCAATTGTAATCTTTTAAAATCTCCAAATCTCAAGAATTATCTGGGGAAACTTCCCCAGGCCCTCCCAACTCTCAAATCTCAATCTCGCTTTTTTTTTTTTCAAAGCATTTCCCTTTAATGAGAAACTTAGCTTTATAGAATCTGAACATTAAAAGATTTAAAAAATTCTATTTTCTTACCAGTATAAGAGAAAACAGAATCTACCTTAAGGAAATCCATTCATACTTCTAGTCCTTCTCCAGGAACTAGCATGGTTATATTATTTTCATTTAGCACAATATGATCTAATTTAGTAATCCTTCTTCCTTCTGGTGTGATCTCAAACCTAGTGATGTCTTCCAGCATCATACTGACAAACTCATGAAATCCTAGAAGAGTGTCACAATTATCACTTTTTATCACAATGTGAATTCTTGATCCTATACACTTGTCCATGAGCTCTAGTAGCTCCAGAGATGGGTTGGTGATTGTATTGGCTGCCATGACAACACCAGAAATGGCTTGCCAGGAGCTTTTATTTCAAGGGAGAGGGAACTAGAGATTAAAGCCAGGGGCACCCAACCATTAAGCTATATCTCCAGTCCTACTGAGACAGGGTCTTGCCAAGTTGCCCAGACTGGCCTCAAAATTGCAACCCTCCTGTCTCATTCTCCAGAGTACATAGGATTATAGGCAGTGCCACTATACTCAGTGGAATCAGCAGCTTTGAAGATTTCCACACCTCCTTCAAAGACACTCTCCCATTGTCTTGATGAAAAGCACCTGACTTCTTCTAGCCACACTAATCACCTAAGTATGGTCACTTGGGTGTAACCTTGAGCATGTACCTTGTTATGGTTTGAATCTGGAACACACAAAAATTCATGTTTGGACAGTGATTCATCCAAATTCAACACTTAAGAGCTGTCTTGCCCTGTCACTATTTCTGGGAACTGAGAGGTGAGGTCTATCTCAAGGTCACCAAAGGATTTCTGGAAGCCTCCTCTCAAAAGCTATTGCCTAGACTCATCCTGGGAACATCAGTAGTTATTCAGGAAGTGCATTCCAAGACCTGGGGATGGTTCCAAGAACAAGATTTCAGGCATCAGGTAGCTTAAAAAGGGGAGTTTGTGAGCCATAGAACACAAAAGTACATTAGTATATCATGTAATATAAGCTGATTTGAATATTGTTAGGAATGAATACTGTGATGGGGAGCTGCATCAGAGAATGAGTTGGGTTGGGAATGGGGATATACATTGGATAATGGGTTGGTGGGGATGGGACATGCATTAGAGAATGGGTTGGAGTGTACATCTGTACATATGCCTTCAATTAAACTTCAACTAACATACATTTATGAAAGAATACCTAAATATTAGACTTGTATCTCTCACTATGCACTAAACTAAAATTGAAATGGATTAAAGATCTAAATATTAAAACGGAAGCACTAAACCAGTTGGAAGAGAGGTTAGGTGGAACTCTTGAAGACACTGGCATACTAAAAGATTTCATGAACGAAACCTCAGTCACACATGAGCTAGCACAAAGAATCAACAACTGGGATCTCACTTTATTAAAAAGTTTCTGCACAGCAAGAGAAAATTCTAATTTTTTTTTTATTTGGTACCAGGGATCTAACTCAGGTCCTTGTGCTTGTTGGGCAGGTGGCAGAACCACTGAGCTAAATCCCCAGCCCAATCTTGCTTATTAACTGGAGGAAACATGTTCCAAAGTTAGCAATTAGTCTTTGTAGCCATAAGCCTTTTATTAAAGAGTTCAATACTTAACTGCCTATTAAAGAAACAAACATTAAATATATAAAAGCATTCATTCATTTAAATGCATTTATTGTTTATTTGCTTGAAAATTGTATATTATTTTTTGGTTTGTTTCTAATGGGTAAGCACCATATCTCTGGATGATATTTAAAGCTGGCAAATGATCTTTTTCTTTTGACTTTATGTCTGTTGCCTGAAGCTGAGCTCTCTGAATTCTTGCAGCAAGGTAACTACTGGGGTGGCCCTGTTAAACTTCTCCAGTGGAACTTTGGGACAGAAAGTTACAGCAGCTAGAGAACCACAGTATACATTATGAATCATGCCTCCAATCTGTCCCATTTCCCTGTGACATCTCAGAGAACTGCTTTGTTATTTCTGTCTAGGTTGTTGGGTTTGATGCATCCACCACAGTGGAAGAGTTTCTGAATACTCTGAACCAGGACACAGGAATGAGGAAGCCGGCACTGTCTGGATTTGCACTGTTCACTGATGACCCTTCTGGCAGAGACCTAGAGCACTGCCTTCAAGGGAACATCAAGGTGACACCAAGTTCTTTTAAGGAGCCAAACTCAGCAAACAGCAGAGAAGCTACTCTTAAATTTTTACAAGAAGTTTAGTTCAGTAGTTTTCAAAAAAGTTAAGCAACCTAATCTTCACCAAAAATAATTGCAGTACTTTGGTGAAGCCAGAAAAATCTAATATGCAGTCTGTACACACGTATTCCATGTGAAACAGAGGAAAAGGAGTAATAATGGTATTAATACTCTGAATGAAGGGAATAAGAATGAAGAGTGGAAGCTGTGATAAAATGGCTTTTCTTTCTTTTTTTTTTTCCTTCATTCAACAATATTTCTGAACTATTTTCAGTGTCCCAGAAGCTAGACTGGACCCAGGAGGGAACAAAAGAAGGGCCAGAAATGTCTTCTGCATACCAAGAACTTAAATTTTGCTTACGGAAGAACAGACTCACACACTGATAACCTTCAGCTAGAATTGATAAATGTTTTAAGAGCACTCAGCACTAGGACTAGGAAAGACCTGAGCTGTAATTGGAAGGATGGGTAGAAAATGGTTGTATGGAAATAAAGCAGAAGAGATTTAGAAAATATTTTCTAGATTATAGTAAAAGGAATCCAATAAAGTTTCCATCAAGTGATAGAAACAATTAGAACATAGGTTTAGGTTACTGCAAGGGATTTCTGAGAAACAGTCTGCTTATTTTGCAAATGAGGAAATGGAAGTCTAGAGAGGGAAAAGATTTACCTGAAAGCACTCAGCGAGAATTGGGTGTACCCCCTTTTCCTGTATTATATTTCAGATTTCTTTTGTGTATTTTCAGACATTCCAATCTTTGTAAACTCAGAAGGTGGAAAAATTATTTCATCAGTGACCAAATCATGAAAAAAATCCCTGGAATCTTCTTGGTTCCAGTCTCATGCAGACATGCATTAAGATTTTTTTTGGAGTGAAAAAATTCATGGGCACAGTCCAAAGTTAATATGTGCCCAAAAGGATAAGTGGAGAAAAGAGCAATTTGTAATTAAGTCCCACACCCAAAGCTGCACAAAAGCTGAAAACAAAAAGCTTGAGTGCATTTGGTTTGATCATATTAATTAAAAATTGTCAGCCTACCAAACATACTTGTCTTCCAAAAACGTTGGTTTTGAAAGCCCTGTGAATCTCCTTTTTCCACTTCCTTTCTAGATTTGTGACATTATTTCCAAATGGGAACAGGCATCCAAAGAACAGCAGCCTGGGAAATGTGAAGGTACAAGAACTGTTCGTCTGACTTATAAAAGCAGGTGTGTAATACTGTGTGCAAATGCCAGAGGATGGGTAGACCTGCATCTGTGTTCAAATCATGCACCCACAGTTTAGTGTCCTATGGATAACCTTGAATGCTATTTACAGTATTTATATATTTGTTTTTCTCTCAATAACAACTGTCTTCTAGAAGAAGAAATGAATGCATACTATTTTGTTTCTAATTCTCCTTCTTTTACATCCTCTTTTTATCTTTCTCTCTGTATTTATTGAGCTTTAAGTATAAGCCAGTCACTTAGCTAAATGGTCTGGATAAAATGGTAATAAGAACAGACATAGGCTTAGTCCTTGATCTTTTGGAATTTTCAGGTTAGTGAGCCGGAGGGCTGTTAATCATATACCCACCCTAATGAATGTATAATTACACTTTAAGTTCTCTGAAAGAGGTCTGATGAGAGTGTATAACGTGGAGCCTGACCTGGACAGGAGACATCACCAAGCTTCTTTTAGGAAGTAATGTTTATGCCAGGGTCAGAGAGAGGGGATAAAGTGTGTTCAAGGATGTTCCCTGTCAAAGGAAGCTGTATTTTAGAAGTTGAGAAGAGGCCTGTGGAGCTGGATCATGTACTTTTTCAACAGTTCAACTATAATTCATTTAAGCACATGGTCACAAACCAGATTGTCTTTCTTTTCTTAATATTTTCTATACTAGCAGAAGATGATACTTAATAAACACTGTTAGCTGACCATTCACATTAACTTTACCAAAATAAAGATAGCTTGCTGGTTTTATTTGAATCTTATGGGTGATAAATTAAAGAATCTATAAAATGTCAAGCCAAGAGCCTGATAGAAATATGGGTATAGTACTAAATTCTTTTAGAGAACTACTTTTGGAAGATGTTCATTGGCATGTAAGAAGTGAGGGCACTGTATAACATAAAAAGTTTAATATCCTTTAATCCAATTCACTGTTTTTTTTTCTGATACTCTATGACACAGACATACTCATATAAATTGGCAGAGTATTCCACTATGGCCCGGTATCTTCTCTGCCATATTTTTATAACAGTGAAAAATTGAGGGGCAATAGCTTACATATTCATCAGCAGAATGGTTAAATTAAAATGGTAACTTCATATTTTGCCCCCCCCCACACACACAATCAGCCACTAAGGGCCACCTTTTGTTTGAACAGACTCCTTTAATCTGAACCAGTGGTCGTTATAAATCATTGGAGCCTCTTTATTCAGCAGCTCATGAACTATGATGTTTGCCAGCATTCTGAGTAGCCAGAAGATGACTATGAGTTTTGGTATCTAAGGGGTTTTTTTGCCCCAGTACTGGGAATTGAACTCAGGACCTTGTGCTTGCCAGGCAGGCACGGCACCACTGAGCTACATTCCCAGCCCTTGGTATCTAAGGTTTGAAATGATACATTGCTACAGATAAGCAACATTAGCTAATGGTACTTGGATAGGCTCCTGGGGGAACCCATTTCCATTAATGCCCAAATTTACCTATGGCCTTCTAGTGCTGGCAAGAACAACTGGCCGGAAGATGGGGACCATCCAGATGACAGTTTTAGTTCTGGCTATTGCTGGAACATAGTTCTGGAAGTGTGAGCCCTGGACCAAGGGCTTCAGGATCACATGGAAACATGATAGAAATGCAAATTATGCAATTACTAGGCCCCCCTCAGATCCACTGTCAGAATTTCTGGTGCCAAAACCCAGGAGTCTATGTCCTAGCAGCTCTCCAGACAATTCTTACACTGCTAGGGGGTTTTTTGTGGGTTTTTTCCCCCATTAAGTTTACTGGTACATTTTAGGTATAAAATACATTTACATACATCATTGGGATCTTGTACCATTACATGAGTATCTTGGTTCTTTTTTTTTTTTCCCCTTCCCCTGCCCTCCTTCACTCCCTCCATCCTTCACTATTTGCAAAGATTTTGTTTCCATTTTTTTCCTTTTCTTGTATTTTTTTCCCTTCTTTCCTTTCCCCTACCTCTCCCACTTCCCGTGCTCCTTTAGGCCTTTACATCCTATTACACAATATCAATTATACATTTTTAGGATTAAAATATCAAGACCTAGGAGACATTACCACAGATTTTACAGAATTTAAAAGGATATAGAAAGCATATTACAAAAATCTGTTTTGAAATAAATTTGAAACTTCTAAGAAGTACCTTGGAAGACAAATTAATGAAACTAACTCTGGAAGAAATATAAAATTTGAATAGCACCTATTAAAGAAAGTATATTCCTAGCTTGAAAACCTACCTATATGACAACAACAGGCTCATATACATTTTAACTGATAAATTATATCAAACATTTAAAGCAGAAAAAAAAAGGAACACTTCTCCCCTCATTTTAGGAACTCAACATTGTGCTAATCCTAAAACTGGATAAAGATAATAGAAGAAAAAAGTATGAACATAGATAGAAATTTGTGTAACAAAACAAACTATTAGAAGTCAGTTCTGGCAGTATGTAGAAAGTGGTTTTGTTATGTGGATGGCATACACTGCTAGGTTTTGAGGAACACTGATCTGAAAGTCCTCTTTGCTGTCCCTGTCTGTTGATCACCCCTTTTGAGGGAGGAGCCAGCTTCCAGGCCTGGTCCTGTATTTGTAGGTAGAGGAGCTTCAGGAATTCTCATTTGCTTTCCTCAGATGGAACAACTTCTATATCTAAGACAGTTCCTAATAATCTAGACCTTATGAATGCTTAATACATACTGATTCTTATTATGATGGCTCAACTTTAAATTTATATTAAATTAAATTTGTATGAAATGAACCAAGGTAATCTGACAGATACAGATAAGAATAATGTTCTAAGTCTCACACTACTGGAAAGGACCAAGAGAGGTGTGACTAACACAATCAAGATTGCCTTTGTTATAAAAATAAAAAGGGTTGGGAATTTAGCTCAGTGGTGCCACTGCCTGCCTTGCAAGCACAAAGTCCTGAGTTTGATCCCTGGTACCAAAAAATAAAAATTAAAAATAAATAAATAAACTTTAGAACAAAATCTTTGACCTAAAAAACACCCCAACTCAATTGAGAGGTTTAAGTTTTAGCAGAAGTCTGAAATGGCTGCAGAGCCACAGCTATGAGAAAGTGCTATATTTCTGAATATAACTGTGCTTTGCATATGTATATGAGTCGCTTAGACAAAGAGCCCAAATTTCCAGTGACACAGTTAGGAGGGGAACTGGCTGTGACCTGTCATGCAGCCAAGGACCTGATTTTTTCATCTGCCAAGCAGCACTGCAACAAACAAAACTGAAATACCAGTTCTCTTTATCATGGAATTCTAAATTTATATTTAGCAAGTTACTAAATTTTAATTATGTAGATTCAGGTGTTAAAGATGTAATTAATAGGCTTTGAACTCAATCTCATAGATAATCATTTGGAAACTAGTGTTTAAGTTCTATTCATATTAAAGCTTCTTATTTTACTTGATTTCTTACTGTGTGTTTGAAATTGCAGAAGTCAAATCATGTTTTTAACAAAACAAAACTGGTAAGCATCTTTCCCTGCAGGGCATAACTCTTCCCTCTCTTTGAAAGTGAAAGATTGTGCTCAGTAGTGCTTTGTAGTTGTTATTTTCTAGAACATAGTCCAACATTCCCATCTCTGCCACCTTTGGCCCACTGTAAGGGCCCTGTGTCCATTGGCTCCTAAGTGAGAAGGATCCTGACAGGTCCTCCAGTTTGTCCCATTTCTTTTAGCTATGTTCACATTTAAAGAATTTTAGAAAGGAGACTCTGTTGTGAGTCTAAAGATCTTTAGGAAAGAATGCTACTGCTAAGCTGGACTCAGTAGTGCATGCCAGTAATCTTAACTATGCAGGAGGCTGAGGCAGGAGGACTGCAAGTTCAAGGCTAGCATGGGCAGTACAGCAAGATCCTGCCTAAATAAAGAAAAAGAAAAAAGGATAGTACTTCTAATAAGAAATTACCTATATTTAATGAACCTTTACCCCACACTAGGCCTGTGTTGAGCTCTGTATATGCAGTATCTCATATAATCTTAAGAACACCTCTGTCAGGTAGGTACTATCATTATCTCCATCTTGTAGTTGAGGTAACTAAAATTTTAGAGAGTCACATAGTCACTTAGCCAAAGCTATAGAAATGGGATTCTTCAGGCTTTTTGGCAAATAATTCCTGTATTTAGCAATTTTTACATACTATTCATTTATCCACCTGTGTAGTCTATCACTGGCAGAACTTGTTTGAAGCCCTGAGAATTCAAAAGTAAATAGAATTTCCCTACCTTTAGACTCTTGCAGTTTCTAGTGAGAGGCAGACATGAAACCTTTGTAATGTAGTTAATGCTGCAGGAAGAGTGTGACAGAGCAGTGAGGAATCCAGCCTCTGTGGGCAGATGCTCGCTGTTACTATGAGTACAGTGTGCATATGTGTAAGGTATTGTAGGAACATGGAACATGTAGGAGATTTCACAGACTGGTGACTTCTGAGTAGATGGCTAAAGTTGTAGCTACTGAGGAGGAAGAGAACGGGGAAGGGTCGCTATTGCAGTGTTAGTGGAGGGCAATCAGTAGACCCAGTGGACCAGTGGAGAAGACTGCAGGCTGCTCCCTTGGTACATTTACCAGAGGGTGTGAAGGATGACAATAGGAGGTAAATGCTCAGAAGTATGAATATGGAGCCAGTTGAGGGCAGTAAGAGGATTACCAGATTTTCTTTGCTTTTTAAAAATATTTCCTTTTCTTCTGTGTATTAGCAGAAGATAGTACTTAATAAATGCTGTTAATTAACCCATTCACATTAACGTTACCAAAATATACTTTGCTGGTTTTATTTGAATATTATACCTCATAAATTTTTTAAAAATCTAGGGCCAGGGGATTTGGCTCAGTGGTTCCGCCACCTGCCTCACAAGCACAAGGACCTGAGTTCGATCCCCTGTACCAAAAAAAAAAAATCTATAAAATATCAGGCTGAGAGCCCTGCCAAGCTTGGAAGCAGTGTCATGTCATTGTGAGTCATACAGAGATGTGGTTTCCAGTCACAGCCTCAGTATCCTGGGTGTCAGTGAGGAGAAGGATCCAGTCAGAGCCCTGCCTGCTGTAATAACAGCTGCTTTCTCGGCCTTGCCCTTGACCTCAGGAGAATTTGGGCACAGCTGGAAGCTAGCCATATTTTGAGAAGTATAGTCCACCTTCCTCTGTTGCTTTTCCTACTCCGGGTTTCTGGGTTTGACTTTCCAAGTTCCTGGCGTTTTTGTGACTCAGTTCTTCTCCATATGCTCCCCACATACCTGTACAAGCTGTTGGAGCCAATGCTGTTTCCCTCAGGGTTTGAGCCACTGGTTCCTGCTTACAGTCTGCCTGACCTGCTGGCTTCCATGATTGTTCTCTCTTTTTCACTGAAAGTGCTTCGCTTTTACTCCACAGGTTCAATCTTGTTGGCACGCTGGAAATGATGGAAAATGCACCTTAGCTGTTCTTTCCTGGAGCCATTTGTAAATTTGGCTCTTTTTGTACATCTAGCATTCCAGTGAGAATACTTAGCTAAATCCTAGTGGATTACAGGGGCAAATAAGTTCCTAACTTCAAGTGGGAATGATCAGTTATATATAAAAATGGAAGGGAGCCCAAAAGGGAGGGCTTTCATCTTAAATCCTCTCTCTGTTTTATACCACTTGGCTGATGCCATTTTTAGTCTGTTACCTATATCCATTGTCCAGTTGTGCTGTCCTTCTAGGTGAATCAGTCCTCCAAAATCAGGGCTTAGGGTTGATTGTTTTTAGGAAATCACTTCAGTTCATAAGCTGGGCTTATAGGAAAAATGATCAGAATTGTGGATAGGAGGAACTTTTCAGAGTACACCCACCTTGTTTCCCCATATTGTAACTGGCTGCCTTCTCCTTCCCAGCTATTTGAGATAATTTCTAGGAGAGATACTTTAACTAATGGGGTGTTCTCTCCTTCAAGTGGATAGGAAGAAAAGAGCCAAAAATCCATAGCACTAAAAAGCACTAGATCTAAATCTCTTTTCTGGCCACTATGCGTCATGATCTTATTCAGATATGTCTGAGCTTACCAACTCTATTTGTCACAGCACTTCAGCAGTCACAGCACATGCCTGAAAACAGACCCCTGTAAGTCTCACAATAAATAAACCACACAAAGAATAAATAAAAGAGGGCCACTAATTTGATGAAGACCTTATAGGCAAACAAAAGCCGTGTGATAAGCCAGGCATGGTGGGATGCATGTCTAGTCTCAGATACTTGGGAGAATGAGGCAGGAGGATCTCTTGAAGTTTAAGACCAGCTTGGGTAACAAAGTGAGAGCCCATGTCAAGACAAACAAAGCCATGTCATGTTTTAACAAGTAATAATGAGAACATGGAAATTATTTTTGATTACCTAAAGCTGTGTATCAGCATGTGACCAGAGTCAAAACACATATAAATATATATATATATTTAAGTTGTATATATAAGATATTATATATAAGATTATATATTATATATAATCTTATATATTATATAATGTTATAATATAATAATATATTAATATAATATATGTTATAATATTAATATTATATTATAATCTTATAAATATAATAATCTTTTAGATTCCCAGAGAAAAACCTCACTTCTTTCTGTCTTTATTTGATGTTGATGTTGATTTTGAATTGGAACTTTCATTTCCTACTCTTTGGTATGTTCGAGGTATTCAGGAGAGATTGTGAGTGTTTTGAAAATTTGGTTTACACAGCCCATTGAAATGAAGAGTTACATTGTACATTCCTTTTAAGAGGGGGAAATTTAGTGTCGCTCTGTGTGTTAGGCCCTTCCTCTGTAACACTTAAGGACTTGGTACTTTAGGGCATAAAAAATAGCATAAAAGGGTTCCTCCACTTCAAAGCAGTTTATTGGGGTTTTTTTGTTTTTGTTTTTGTTTTTTTTGCTGAGACTTTTATATGGAACAGAAACATAGATCACTGACAGTAATGGTCTGGGTTTGCATTGCTTAGAGAATTATGTTAAAACACCCCCATCTTGGTCCTCTGAATGTATCTTTACTTTCTTCCTCCTTGAGAATATCACTGGGGGCTGGTGATGAAGCTGAGTAGTAAAGTACTTGCCTAGCAGGTGTGAGGCCCTGGGTTCAATCCTTAGCAAGCAAGAAAAAAAAAATCACTTAATGAGAAATGTCCTTTTGTTTTTTTACAGACTGTATTTTTCAATGCAAACTTATGGAGAGACTGATAGAGAAAAGTTGCTGTTAATGTATCAGACAAATGAGCAAATAATAAATGGCCTTTTTCCTCTGAACAAGGACCTGGCGTTAGAAATGGCAGCTCTCTTAGCTCAGGTAACTCCCGTGTTGTGTAGAGTAATATATGGAAGTGATAAGATTTTAATTTCTTCACTGAATTTAATGCAATAAAAAAATAGACCTTCAGTAACTCTTTAAATTGATTTTTTGCTATGATTATCACCTTAAAAATTGCAGGGATTCTATCTGCTTGGACTCTGAGCCAAGTGGCAGTGATAGAATGAGACATACGGGAGCCTTGTTTCATAACTCTTGAAAATAGAGCTCCAGGCTTTGCATTTCATAAAGGAATCTGAGTGTTTACTATGAGGCTGAGAATGCCATGCTGAAACTGTTCACTAACCTAACAAGAATGAGTCCTTGAAAGAGCAGGAGCACTTTCTCATTTACCTGTTGTATCCATTAGGGTTAAATTCAGACTTCAGCAAACATACATACAGAGACTTAATCAGCCGGAAATATGCTCATCTCTCATTGAGGTGGAAGGATCTTCCTGGCTCCCCTACAAAGTCACTGGGACCACAAGCTTTATCCTGCTGTCCATTCTACTGTCCCTGCGCTGTCAACCCCATGTTTCTGGAGGCCTGCCAGAGCTCCAGCTGTTAGGTCAGTGTTCCAGGCCTGGAAACAGAGGAAGGGCTGAAGAAGGCCATGCCTTCCTGCCTTTGGGAGTACTTCTTTGAAGTTACATAAAACACTTCCATTGAGGCCTCTCTGCTCAGGATGGGATTTAGGCACCTACAAGGGAGGCCAGGGGGTGTGGTTTAAGCTGAGCAGCAGTGTGCCAGCTTCATTTAAGGTCTTTATTGCTCAAGAAGAAGAAGAAGAAGAGGATGGTCACAAGAGACAGCTCACAGTCTCTAGCACACCTGAGTCTTTGCATAGGACAATTAAGGAAAAAATGTTAAACGTTGTGATACTCCATCCAGACAAACACTTAGGTCCCCCAGCGTCTTCTGTTGCTGGCTCTTCACTCTCTACATCATCCCAGGTCGTTCCATTCATTTTCTTTATTTTATCCACTACCTATGCCAATGATTCCTAAGTCTCTTCTCTCCAGTTCATACTTCCTTAATGAGCTCCTTAAATTCAACATACTGAAAACTACACTAATCATCTTCCCTCCTCTTTCTTCCCATTCTGTATCTTCATTGTGATGCTGTCTCCACTCAGTGCCCACGTGAAGTTCAAATCCAGGGATCCCCGCTGACTCTTTCCTCCCTGTTCCCTTTCCCACTGGCCTTAGATATTCTTCCCTGTTCACTGCTAAATATGCTAATTACTACCATCACTGTAGTTCTGACCCTTGTCACATCCTGCCTGCTGTCCTTCCAGGTGCCTGTGTTTTTCACAAATTTATCTTTCACACAGAGGCTAGAGAGTTTTTCCAGTTAGCCATAGCTGCATAACAAATGACTCTTCAAATAATAGGGGAGGAATGTGAGACAGCAACTTGTCCTTGCTTCACCTGGCATCCACTGACACAGTCCAAGGGCCAGTTGTGACCCCAGGGCTGAGGGCTGGAATTGCCTGTCTCCTGGCTGATGCTGGCTGTTCATGGGACTTCTGCTGGGACTGTCAGCTGGAACATCCACACGTGCTCTCTTCACGTGACTGCTTATGCTTCTGCCAGAATGGTGGTTGAATGGCAAAAGCAGTTACCCAAAAAGAGACAATGAAGCCTGCAGTTTCCTTAAGGCCTAGACCTGGAGACAGGACCAGTGTTGCCTGTTCGTGGAGATTTGTTTACACAGAACTAGTAACTGAGATAGAGACACAGCAAAAATGCGAATCTAGCTGTCATTTACCAATACAGAAGATATTCCTGATCTGAACTGTGCCATGAACTTTCTGCTCATCTGTGTAAACCGGATTCATGTACAATTCTCTGACTCGCATATGATTTTGTTTTTCTTATGTTCTACTGGTCAGTCTCCTCAGCCTGGAATGTTCTACCCCTATCCCTTCACCTATTAACTTCATCTTACCCTTTCATTTTTACGGTAGGAGTCACATATTCCAAGAAACTTTCCTGAATCCTGTGGGGGGGGTTAAATGTCCTTCTGTAATGTTCTACACTTAAATATTGGTGTCCTGATCTCAATGATAAAAGCTGAAGAAAAGAGAAACAGGGCACTTATTTTCTTGGTCATGGGACTAGGAATGATTCCCTGCCAATTGTTTGGACACAGATTCTCTATTAAAATCATGCATTTGTTGAAAGACAGGGTCTCACTATGTAGTCCAAGCTGGCCTTGAACTCCTATGTAGCCCAGGCTGGGCTCAAACTCACAGTGATCCTCCTGCCTCAGCCACCTAAGTGCTGGGATCACAGGCATGCGCCACCACGACCAGCATCTTTTTTTTTTAAAACTAGGATTTAACCTCATCTTTTTGCTTTATCTTTTAATTTTGTCAAGAAGCTTCTCCAAGAAAAATTATAAACTGCTTTGGGGATATATACTTAACATTTTAGATGAGTTTGAGGAAGAGACAGAGCAGTTAAGATAACACATCAATAAAATTTTGGGCACATGACTAATTTAAAAAATCTCAGCTACTCAGAGGGCTGAGGGAGGAGGATGGCAAGTTCCAGGCCAGCCTGAACAACTTAGTGAGACCCTGTCTCAAAATTTAAAAATAAAAGTAAAAGTAAAATTACTCTATATAAGGAAAATTAAATAATGCTTCTGATCTTCTTCCCTCAGAGCAGTTTTTATGAAGATAAATGAAATATACTAAAGAAATTTAAACTTGCTAAATGAGTTATTTCTATCGTAAATTTGAATACTGCTAGGTCCTTGTTGACATTCTCTGTCTTAGGAAATTCTCAGAGCTGCTGACCCAACATTGTTGTACAAAGTCTGGTAAGGGGTCTTGTTCATGTGGGACATGTTGGGAATTATCGTATTCTCCAAACATCTGCTGTGTTTATTCTTGCACCAGGGAGGCAAAGCGCTGAGCTTGAACACACCACTCATGGCTTCCTGAAGAGGCACTGTTGCCGTGAATGGTCCTACTACTTTTGTTAACTAGTGTTTGTCCAACTTTGTGGAAGTTAAGACCCAGTCTAGGTTCCACAGGCAGCTGTGGTGAGTGCTGCCTGCTGACAGGTAGGGACAGTGTGCAGCTTCTCTGGGGGAAAGAATTTCAATGTAAAGATCTGGTGGATAGTTTTTATTGGGTGTGAGGACATTAGGGAAGGATCCTTGATGAGAAAAGAGATGGGGAGTGTTAGCAACCAGGAAAAATGAGGAACGGGAGCTGAACAGCAAAGCCATGCCAGACAACCAAGAAATAAGAAATGGAGTCAGAGAACTTAGAAGATTATGAAAAAAGGTTGTCAGGGCAGAGCTCAGCTGAGATTTGCACAGTAACTGATGAGCTTAGGAACTAGAAAAGAGAAGACACAGGGCCTGTGCAACAGCTGAACTGGAGGCAGGAGGCCCCTGGGACGTGGAGAGCTGGGGTTCTCTGTAGGACCATTCCAGGCTGGGTGGAGCTTGCCAGCTGCTTGTTGGATGTTCTGTAGGTAAGGGTGTGAATGCTCCTTCTGGAACCCTCTTTGGTATCTTACTCAAAGCACTTAACACAGTTTATCAAAAGTGTGCCTCAGTCTCCCCTACTAGCTAGCAAACTCTTTAGGGTAGGTTCTGTGCTTAGCTTTTTCTTCTCTCACATCACTTAACAGCAACTGACTTATAATGGGAACTAAGTGTAGGTTTGGATAAAGGAAGAGGTACTTCAGTTGGTGGAGAAATGGATGGGTAGTTGGATGGGTGGCAAAGGATGGCATCTCCGTGACCTATAAGCAGAGACAAGGGTTGAACATTCTTTCATCGAGGGAGAGAAGGAAATGAAGAGCTCCATTCCTAGGAATAATAGTCTAATAGAATGAGTGGCTGAATATAGCAACATTTATAGAGAAAATCTAAGAAGGAAATAATAATAATATAATTCTTGCTCTCATTACATGCAGTAGAGACCCTTAAAACTTACAACTGCTTCCTGACTTCTTACAGCTTTATCATCTTTTTTGCCTTTTATTTTTAACTTCAATTTCATCTTATTATTAGCAATTGAAATGCTACCTTCAAATGAAAAATTATGCTGTGCTACAGGAAATAATAGAGTAGTGTCCTTCAGCAACTACTGCTAGATGGTGAGAGTAATCTAGGAAGGTTAATGTGGAAATAGTACTGAAATGTTTAAGTGATAGCTTTTTTCCCCCAAAGTTAGAATTCAAATGAAATTCAGACTTAACAGTTCTCACATATGATTATAAATTTTGTAGCCCCAGAATCACAACAAATAGATTTTTGTGTTGTGTGCTTTTAAAGAAAAACTAAAAGTGATTTTCCTTTTCAAAGCTCTTTCAATATTCTACGTTTTCTCTTTTTTTGGATTTCCAATCAGGTGGAAATTGGAGATTTTGAAAGACCTTTCTCAACTCCAGCGGGGCATGTTACCAACCAGTGCAAAGCAAATCAAACTCTAAAACAAGTCATAGAAAAATTTTATCCTAAAAGTTATAGAGACAGCTGTACTGAGGAACAGCTAAGGTAAGGAAGCATTTTTTTTTTAACTCTTTGGTAGAGTCATGCTACTCGTTTTTTGTTTTTCATTTTTCTGTTCTAATTTTAAAGGTTGAAAAATTAGTTTTCTCAGGAATTTTTAATACTGATGAGCCCCAAGAGGTGACAACCATCTCTATTTTAGATGTGCCCAGAAGCTTTAGAGTCTATTTGTCATGTGTGGCATTATATTTTTGAAGCACATATACATTCTGCACTGACTAAAAAATCCTTTTAATTAAAAAAGCATTCCCTTGATTTAGATCTTCTTTTCATTTGATCTTATTCATACTTGTACAAATTAATCCTGATAATAAAGATGGAAAAAACTGACTGATGTTTAATCTTATGAAGCATGTATCAAAAACAATTATCTCATAGGATCTTCTATTATAAACAAATTGAAATTAAAAAGCTATCTTCTTACATGAAACTTTTTAATGTAAAATTGGAATTAAATTAATTTACAGTTTCAGTATTTAGAGGATATAAAGAAATGCTGATTGGATTTTTAAAAATAGAGACAAATCCACTTTACCATGGGTTTTCCAAAATGGAAATTTTAAGATCAGTATTTTGTCGTCTGTGTAGTGTAAGTGGTTGCCTCTGTAATTTAGTTTGAGAAGTTTTCTATGCATCCAACCTTTCTCTAAGCCAGGAGTGGTAATACCTAAAATTCTTCCAATTGGGCTCTTCTTCTTGAACTTTTCTTTAAAAATTATAATATTCCTAGGAGAAATTACCTTATAAACTATTTTATACTAGGGCTTGATGTTAACTCTTCAGGTGTTTAAAATGTACCTGCCAGGGGTATCTTGGTCATGTTAAGAACAATGACAGTATGAGAATTTGGTAAAAGAAATGCTCCAGAAAGATGTAACAGTGGGTAGGTGAAATATCACAGGTAGGCCTAGAACTGACCCAAGGAGAGCTTTATCTTGGGAGGATGATACACCGCTTATGCTTTGGCTTTTGTCTTTTTGTTCTGTTTTTTTTGTTTTTTAGGCAGCTTTACCAGCGACTATCAACCAGATGGATGGCCCTCCGGGGACGCAGTGCTGCTGACTGTGTGCGCATTTATTTGACAGTAGCCCGGAAGTGGCCATTCTTTGGTGCCAAGTTGTTTTTTGCAAAAGTAAGAAAGAATGGGAGGGAGACACATAGTAAAAACCTTGTGTACATAATCGACCAGATTTACCCCAGTGCTAATATACTGGGCTTTATAAAAAATGAAGAAAAGCCCCCAAATTTAAAGAAAGCAATGAAGGAATGTTAGAGAAGGGCAAGGTTTCTCCCTCTTTTCCCCTCTGCTCAACTTTTCTCCACCCTAAATCATTTCCCAAACTCATTACATTAATCAGGAAACGATAAACAACAGCTGAACACTGCTTTCTTCTCTTCATTCATATATCCAGTCAATGGACTACACTCTCACTCATTGGCTCATTGATTTAGTAAATATTTACTGAGTCCTGTTTGGCAAGCATTGACCTAACTTCTAGACACACATAAACCCCTAGTTTCTGATGAATTGTACCACATTTCCAGGATGGTGTCTTTTAGCATGGTCCAGTGTTGCAACACACTTGTAAACAAAGCACTCCATGGTGAATGTCCTTAACAGTGATACACGCAGGGTTCTGCAGAAACAGTGCAGAAAGCCATGAACCCTGCCTGGGAGGTAGCCAGCCCTTTCCCCAAGAGAAAAACTGTACCTTTTTTCTTTCTAGGGAGAAGGTCCTGGGGAAAGAGCATGCTAAGCACAGGCTCTACCATGGAGCTACGCCTCCAGCCCCAAACTGTGCTTTTAAAATTCCTCTTCTTTTTTCTATTCTTTCTACTTTGGACCTTCGTAGATACTTTTTTTTTTTATATCAGGAATCAAACTTGGGGCCTCATGCTTCCCAGGCAGGCACTTGCCTGCTAAGTTACGTCCCTAGTCCCCTCATAGACTCATCAGATGCATCCTGTCTTGCACTGTATTTTTTCTGTGTATTTCTTTTATGCTCACTAATAAGTTGCAGACTTAACCTCCAGAGTGATCCTACAGTCCTCCTCTGGGGCCCACCATAGTGCTTTTGCACACAATTGTCACTTCACAAACATTTGCTGAATAGCCTGCAGCTTTGGACAAGTCAGTTACTCTCTCTGGCCCTCGGTACTCTCATCTATTAATAAACAATGTGGACTGGAAAAGTCAAATCTAAGGAATCTTCTAACTCTGATTCTATGAGTGATTTATTGTTGGGTAAGTAATTATTTTTGCTACTGGAACTGGAAGCTCCATACTGAGTTAACAGAAAGATGATAGTGTGTTAGTATTCTTAAACATTTATGCAATGAATGTATTTGCATGGAGTTGCATTTTTTTTTTTTTAAATACTGTATAGGGCCGGGGATTTAGCTCAGTGGTTCCAGCGCCTGCCTTGCAAGCACAAGGTCCCAAGTTCAATTCCTGGTGCCAATAAATAAATAAATAAATAAATAAATAAATAAATAAATAAAAATACTGTATAAGGAATAAGTCAAGTGTAGTGACACTCATTTACTTAAGAGGCTGAGGCAAGTGGATTGCTCAAGTCCAGGAGTTTGAGACCAGCCTGGGCGATATAGGGAAACCTATGTCCTGTAAGCTGCTGGCACAAACTATTATTATGATATAATGATACTGTTTTGTGTTGCATGACTAGCACTTTTCTTTGTAACAGAGATGCACTTCCTTTGCTTAATGGTGCCTCTGTTTGGTGTGTGTGTTAAAATACAAGTAACATAAAATTTACCATCCTATTTTTATGTAGACAGTTCTGTGCATTCACATTGCTGTACAGCCATCACCACCGTCCATCTCTAGAACTTTTTGTCTCCCTGAAGCCTGAAAGTCTAGATCCATTCAACACTAACTTTCCATGCTCTCCCAACCCCCAACCCCTGGGAATCAATTGCTTTTCTATGAAGCACATGTGTGAGGAATTACAAGTATTTGTACTATGGTTATCTGTTTCACTTAGGAAGTCTTGAAGATGACATAGTATGTGTCAAAATTTCCTCCCCTTTTAGGACTGAATAGCATTCAGCTACACATACACACACACACACACACACACACACACACACACACATTTTGCTTATTCATTCACCTGACAATAGACACTTGGGTTGAATGGCATCTTGTTTAGTGCCTGCCTACATTTGCAAATCAGCACTCAGTAGACAGAATGATAAGCTAGAGGGTGTTTTTTAAAATATGAGATTCTCATAAGTTTTACTGTATGCAAGTAACACAAAATTCACCCCAATTCCTCATTTATAGTCTTGAGATTCTTTTGTAAGATTTAAGAGACATAATTAAGTTTTTGTTAGAAGTTCAGCTGTTAACTGAACAAAATAGTTATTATGGAATGTTCATAAATATTCGTGGATTTTAATTGGTTTTAGTGGTGGGAGACTTTTTATTAATATAATTTCATTGCTTTTGCAATAAAGAATTTGGTAGAAAGTTTAGTACTTTTCAGTACAACAGATCACAGTTTCATATTTTCTTTTTAATCTATTTTTGTTATACCCTGAATATCACATTTAATAAACTTTTAGAAAAAATGTACATTGGGCCAGGGATTTAGCTCAGTTATCCTAAAGCCTGCCTTGCAAGCTCAAGGTCCCGAGTTTGATCCCTGGTACCAAAAAAAAAAGAAAAAGTATACAAATATTATAGTAATCTTTTACATTGTGGTAGCATTACACATTATACAAGGTACATCAGTATAATTTGTTTCATTAGGATTTTGGCCATCATGGAAACCCAAAAAGCTTTGTCAACTATTGACCTTTTGAACAAAAATAAATAATAAAAATTATTGTTTGCATGTTAAAGATGAGGAAATTCAGCCTCAAGGGAATTAAATACCTTGTCCAAATGCACACATTACTAAATGGCAGATTTGGGTTTCAAAGTCAGGTCTCCAAATATCAACTTCGCTATTCTGTCCAGAATAACAGCCTCCTTCCCCAAAATTAATTTTTAATAATATGATTTTGCTGTTGTTGTATAATGGTGTTCCCTGGCATTTAGTCTAAAATATATTTCTGTAGTTTGGTTTAGCATTTATAATACAGTATATTTTCATCTCTTCATAGCCCATAACTCCATTATCACTTGGAAATACTGTCATATGGCTGGCTATCAATGAGAATGGTTTAAGCATCTTAGAATTCAACTCCATGGTAAGATTAAGCCCTAAAATTTTACATTGAATCCACTATTTCTTTTGCTCAGCATACCATAAACATAAGGTAATGATACCTTAATCTTATTTTTCTGATACTCAGAAAACATCCTAATATATCTAATTGAAAGCAGTTTTACAGATGCAATTATGATTATAATTAAATCTTATAAAATAAGACAGATTACCTGTTGTGTATGGGAAAATATTAAGATCCTGTGGTTAAACTACCATCGTGGTTATATTGGTGACATGAATATTTTTAAAGTGTTATGATAATTGGTTCCTATGTAAAATAAAAATATTTAAGATATCATTAAATAGAAACTTTAATGATCAAAGTTTTAGTTTCACTAAGGCTTCTACCACATAATTTCTATAATTTTCCATAATATCATTTGCCAGTTCACTTGGACATATACAAAACTTACAGCTTTTCACATAAGTACAAATTAAGTCAAATTATTCTCTTTATGTGTTCATTTATTTATCTGAAATTAACATTGTCTATCCTATTTCATGTATCACATTATTTAGAAAATATTTTATTCCTTTTTTTTTTCAATCTAATGGCTAGGAGTTGCCAATTTAAGAGCTGTAATGTACTCTCCTTACCCATGGTGATAGTGAGAGGTCACTAAAAATGGGTTGGAAACAAAACTATCCTTTAGTGTCATACTGTTTTCCTCTTGTAAGTAATTTTAAAACTTGTTGAAAGAATTTTTGTTTTCCAAATACTTTTTAATTCTTGGGTGGATAACTTAAAGACACATTATAACATCAGTGACTTGAAGTCAACAAAAAAAAAACTATGCATGGGCCAGGGATTTAGCTCAGTGGTTCTGCCGCCTGCCTCACAAGCGCAAAGACCTGAGTTCGATCCCCAGTACCAAAAAAAACAAAAACAAACTTTACACCAGTATTGAGTTCCATTAGTTAACTAGTTCCCTAGATCTAAAGTGGTGAATATACAGGACAGCAGGTAGACACTAGGGGGCTGTAGCTCTGAAGGCATCTAGGGCTACAGCATTCTGCTCAGTCCTGCAGGCCGATCATTACATGTCCAGACCTCTTTATTTTTAGGCTGCACAACTTTAAATTATACATTTTAAGTGGTTTTAGAAACCCACTGCGAAAAGTATTTGTTGGATAGCCTTAATATAAAGATCTCTTATAACATAAGAAAAATAAAAGAAAACTATGGGGCTGGGGCTGAGGATGTAGCACAGTTGTAGTGGATTTCCAAGGTCCCGGGTTCAATTTCCACCACCAAAAAAAAAAAAGTTAAATACACTAATAGATAAGTGGACCAAGACAATTTACAAAAGAAGAAATATAAATATGCAATGTATGTATTTTAAAATGTTAAATTTCACTACTAATTAAGTAAATGAGATTTAAAGCAGATTCTACTTTTCACCAATTAGGTTGCAGAGATTTAAAAGAATGTTGATATCCAGTGTTAGCAAGATTGTGAGAATGTGAATGGTATAACCTCTCTAGAGGAGAGGTGGGAAAAGTTCCCCTAGTTGTCTTTACTCCTTAAGCAATTCTTGTTTGATTTTTACAACCAAAGAAATAAGTATGTGCATTATGAAGTAACAAATGAAAAGAAATAAAAATGGTTTAAATATGCTGTAATAGGAGACTGATTAAATAAAAATGATTGCCTTTAAAGTAATTTAAAATTCTATACAACTTCATTGGTTGGCATGAAAAGATGGTTACAACTTGCTGTTAACTTAAAAAAATAGTACAGTGCTAAACAGTATTCACGATACTGTTTCTGTTTATATATCTCAAAATCTACCTACCAGGTTGAATCTTGTAGATTTGCCAGTTTTGTCGTATAGTATTTGACCATTTTGACCTTACAAGTATCAGTTTCGCATGCCTTAACCGGATTTGTAAAGAGAGCTATGTGGAAGAACATATACAAAGACATTAACAGTGATTTTCCCCCTGGCTGCTGAAATATAGGTGTTTTACATTTTCTGATAGTTTCTATTTTTTCTGCAGTGAGTTTTTTCAGAATCAAAATTTAATTGTGAAGAAAATATAAAATTAGCTCCACCACTGTTTATTTTAGGTCATAATAGATGTCATATTTTAGATAATATGTTTTTGTATTATGTTACGACTAATTAACATAATCATTTTAATGGAGATTAGTTATTAACTATCTTTCATTTTTATGTAAAGAGCATATAACATAATTACTTTTTCTTTTCTTTGAAGAGGTTATTAGTCAGCTATGCACACAGAAGTCTAACGACCTTTGGAGGTTATCAAGATGATTTTATGGTAGTCATTAACAATTCACATTCAAAAGACAAACCAACAGAGAAATTACTTTTTACCATGGCAAAACCCAAGGTGAGTGGAACCCTTTCTGCCAACTTTTTTGTACTAGTTTTTTAATACTAAAATATTTATTAAGCAAAGACTTTTCCAGACGGAAAAAGAGATTTTATTTATAACTTAACAACCATGGATTCAAATCCTTGCTAACTTTATCTTGGATTCTTTATCTGAACAATGCTACTTATTTTAACTCAGCCCTGTGCCTGGTATATAAAATGTTCAAAAGAAATGGCCATGGACTTATTGTTATCAGATACTTTATACACGTTATCTTAACTACTTGGGGTTGTTTTATGGACTCGTTAGAGGAAGAGCAGATTTTTATAATTAAGACATATTTGTTCCTTTACTGTTTTAAACAAATTATAAAGTTTCAATGCCTTTAAATAAAAGGGCTGCATTCTAACATGTTATGGTAATTTTAGTAAAAAGAATGAGAAATTGATTCTCCAAAAACTTTTTCACAAAGTTGTCAAATAAAGAGACAATTTCTGTAGAATCTGGAGGTTTTTAAAAAATATATCAGATCTCAAGACCAGGGTTCTTAGCTCAGTGGTGCCAATGCCTGCCTTGCAAGCACAAGGTCCTGAGTTCAATCCCTGGTACCAAAAGAAAAAAAAAAATCAGATTCCTAATCAATTCTATATGTAGGTGAAGATGGTTAGCCATGACCAAAAGGTCATAGGATAGTCAATATTTCAGTTTAAATAAAGAGTTGATGTAACACACTAAATTTCTTAATTCATATATATTCACAAACATGAGTTTAAGATAATTGATAAAGTTGTATACTGACCATTACATTTCCAAATATTGCCACTAAACTTGATTATTTTCTGAGAGTCACTCTTTCTGGTGATTTAAGTAATGGAAAAAATGTGGTGGTGCCTTGATGGTGCAGGCACATAAGAACTTCACTCTCAGCAAGCAGTGGATTCTGGTAGGTTGGGTGCTTGCACATGGAGATCACCCTTGGCCAACCCTTTGCTCTCTTAGAATTGGTGAGAACTTCTCAGGAGCATAACGGTTCTATTTTTCTTGTTTTAGATTCTTGAAATCACTCTTTTGATTGCCAGTTACATCAACAACTTCCATCAACAAAAGGCAGCATTTCACCACCTCTCTGCTCCAGCACTGCTTTCCATCAAGGCCCAGGAACCCCAAGCCAGGGTGATGGGAAGCCAGCCCCTGCTGTCAAGCAGCAGACCCACCAAAGGCCCCACCTTACTCTAAAAGCCCAGGAGCTTGGATATCACTCTTTGTCCCCGTGTAGTGGCTGCATCAGCTGTGGCGCGATGGTTGACACCGTCCCTTGGCACCACACATCAGTGTTCTAGACCTTAGCAATTACCAGAGTTGCTACCTCTTCTGTGATTCTTAGTCAAGCAACAGTAAAACAAACACAAAATTTGCCAACATGCTCATTTCCTCTTAGATTAAATAAGTTAAAATTTGTCATTTTCCCCATCTCCCTTCTCTCTGGCCATGAGAGACATTGATGCAAAATGGCTTTTTTCCTTTAAATATTCTGACAGTCTTAAGAAAAGGAGATTCCAAGCTCTCATTTGTTAACCAGTTGATTATTTGGAAAAGCTCACTGCCAAAAATATAAGTCCTGTAATTAAATGTGCTTTTAATTCATGAGATGGTGTTTGGAAAGGAGTGGGATACACAGTGTGAGAAACTGCTGTGGAGTGGTGTGTTGGGGAAAATTTTTAGAGCAAGTGCAATAAATCTTCTGGCTCTGTGAATCATTATGTGAGGAAACAGGAGTTCAGTGGCCACAACCTCCTCTGTGGTGTTAGAAAGTATACCTGCCACCTTTGCAGATCACTGGAGTGGAAAGTTTAAAGCGAGACAGTGATTCCTGACACTGCTCTTATAACAAGTTCACTGGACTATTGCCCAGTTTGCATTGCATTGGGTGCTAGGTTGTCTTGACCTTGCTTTGTTAAATAACAGCATCTTTGAAAACAAAGATGGTCCTTACAGTGTTGCCCCTCAAACAGTTTTTTCTATAGCTTGCAAATGAATATTTTTTGGTACCGGGGATAGAACACGGAACCTTGCGCTTTCGAGGCAGGCAGTGGAACCACTGAGCTAACTCCCCAGCCCTTTGAAAATAAATAGTTTTTAAAAATTGTTTCAAAAGAAAATAATTCTTCTGTCAAAGGAGGTAAAATTTTAATTGGAAGAATATTGAAATGTATTACTATACCCAGTCATATCAGTGGCCAGTACACTCCAGTATGTGTCAAAATAGTATCATTAGTATTCATGATAAAAATGAAACTGTGATAAAATATGAAAATTCTATTATAGAAATGTTTAACTGTAATAATAATCATGAGTATGGTTAACTTTATTTATGTGTAGAATATTTGTATTTATTTTTGGACGTATTTATCACCTTTTGTGTCATATTTTTTAAGCAATTTGAAAAAACTGTTAGCTGCTGAACTAATTTGTTGGCAGGGCCTTCATATTTTCCTCTTTGCTGCTTTCTTCCTATGGCAATGTACTGTTCTCACAGCCTTTCAAAAATGTTCCATCCTTAGAACAAAAAGCAGAGCCAAGAAATATGGCGCTCAAGTAATAACGTGCCTTATAATTAATCAAAAAAGATTTTTAAAGACCCATAGAAATAGATTTCAATTGACTATTTCCCACTGCATCTTTTGAGCCACAGCCACTCACTGAGTGAGTAAGTTAGTTTTTTAGAATAAGCTGATTGCCAATTTGGGATGATTCTCTGGAGTCTTTTGGCTGGGATATAATAGTGTTTCTGGGCTCCCAGAAAACCATTTACTGATCAATAGCTGGTGAGTGAGAGGCTTGGCAGAGCTGTTACTTATGTTGAGAACTTCATCCTCAGGTGGTAGGTAGTTCACTTGCCATCTGGTAAGCTACCACCCACCCCACGTCTTCTAATTTAAGAATGAGCAGTGAAGGCTTAAGTTAAACTGTAGTATCTTAGTCTTCACATTTATTTTTGATAGAACAGAGATAAAATATTTTGATGGAAAGAAATCAATTTTCTGTAACTGATGATGTGAAAATTTTATTTTCTGGAAAATTACTTATATAGCCATTTAAAAAATTCGAAGTATGTTATTATGATTGGTTACAAAAGAATAATGTTTCATGTCTAATTTGTCTCCTATCATTTTCTTCCTTTCAATCATAATAAATGATTTACAAAACCCATTTTGAGCATTATCTTTTGAATAGTCTTCAAGAAATGCCTAATGTTTTCATTGTCAAAGCTGAGGTGCACTACTAGTGAAAATGGTAGTTATTCCCTCCTCTTGTATTCATGCTTTGTCTTCAGTGTTGCTTTGTTTTACCAAATAAAAAGAAGCTATTTTGGCAAATTTATTGAATATACATGTATATTCAATAGAGAAACAGAAAAATTGGTTTCCCATTATTTCATAATAAACCCTGTAAGGGAGTTTATTTCATTTAGATGAGTTTAATGAACTTCGTTTTAAAAATTTATTTCAACTGGGCCGGGGATTTAGCTCAGTGGTTCCTTGCGCCTTGCAAGCGCAAGGTCCCGAGTTCCATCTCCAGTACCAAAAAACAAAAAAAATTATTTCCACTGTTCTTGATTTGTGTGAATGAGTATGTGTGTATGCCCTAAGAATCAAATATATATTGTCATAACTTGGAAATAAATGTAACTATCAATTTACAAGTCAGTAACAACTTACAGAGAGACTTTGTTCCAAAAATGTGTTTATTAGTTTGTTGTTTGGAATTTTTCCCATAGTGGGAGAAAGTACATGGTGATCAGTTTCCTAGAACAAATACATTTAATTCATAATTGAACTGAAATACAATCCTGGAGAATGAACCACTCTAGGTAACTGCATTTCTCTAAGAGGCTTGAAGTATTCTGGAGTGCCAAGGTCACATTTCCCTATCCAGCAGTCTCCCAGCCTGATGGTGTCTGCCCTCCTCAAGCTGAGAGGCTCTGGGCTGATTTCTTGGGGAAGAGGCTCCAGCAGTGTGGGGAGTGGGGAGGAAAGGAATGGGCAGGAGGACATGGGGAGGATCCTTTGCTACCAGTTCCTGCAGAAATTGCTTTCTCTTCTCACCCCCGCCCCTTCCCTAAAGGAAGAAAGAGATTTTACTGCAATACAAGTAATTATTTCCCCTTAAAGTCAAAATTGAAGTCCAAATATAGATATTTAGGGTGAAGTAAAATTTTCTTGTGTTTCAGTGAGACTTAAGATGCAGGCTCTCCTTGAGCATTTAAGTGGCAAGGTCGTTCTCCCATGAAGTGTTGGTGGGCCTGGCCGGGGGGCAGGGCTGAGGGGATGAGATGACTGACGCCAGCTCTAATCCATGATTTCACTTGCTGAACTTAATTTTACCTAAATTGCACATAGTTACAATGATTCTCGAGACATCAACATCAATCCACATCAATCCACAAATCTTCATTGTGTGCTTTATAATTATCAACTATCCTGCAGTCCAGTAATAGGCAAGGAAGAACATCTTTATTGGGGAACATGAGAAAACAACTGCAAAATAAGACACCATAGTACTTGAGTATGGAATATATATTTTTTGCTAACAATCTAATAAGGCAGGTGTGTGTGTGAGAGAGAGCAAGAGAGACAGAGAGACAGAGAAATTGACTCTTGAAGTTGCTGCTGGGTTATATTGTGGTTTTATTACAATCAAGTGACTCCTCCTTAGCTGTGGCAGTGACAAGGGAAAGCTCGTTTCCTGTCTTACAGTGTAGCTCTAATGAATTCCCAAGAAGTGTCCTTAAGAACTGAATGTTGAGCAATACCAGAGGAGTTAGCTTAGAAGTTACTCGCTTGAATTTCTGGAAAATACTATCAAACTCTAGTAAGAGTAGCCTTTTATGAGAGGAAATTGTATGGAAAGTGTGTAACCTTGAAAAAGCTTGAGAAGAGTTTTTATTAGCTTTTGCATGATGCACAGATCACACGATGGTTTTATCTTTTCCCCCCAGGCATGAAGTGAGCGCCATCAGTACTGACACCATGTTCTACCTAACTGCCAAGTCCAATGGACCCCACATATTCCAGCTGTCTGGTGGATGATTCTGCAAACACACCACGCCCTCCAGGCCTGGTTATAACTCCCTAACAGTTGGTTAATAGGATCAGTGAATCATCAGTCACTCAAGTCATTGACTTTTCTCTCTTTTCCCAAGGCTTCACTCTCTACCATATAAAACTGTGGTTGTAAATTCTAAACTTCAAGTTGAATTAACTTAGACAAAAAGAGATGTCACTTTTCTAATTTTTGTTATGAGAATACTAGGTGTCTCAGAATCAAAGGAAGAGCTCAGCAATGATGTCATAAGCAAAGTGAAGACACAGGCAAACTTTGGGGACAGCCAAGCCAGGACACATCTCTGCACTGATGAGTGTGTGCTTTGGGTTCTCTAACTACCAACAACATTTCATCTACCAAAAAATATGCTGATTTCCTCCAAAAAAGGAGTGAGTTGCTTTTTCCAATTTAAGTTTGAAAAATCCCAGAAAAAGATTTATGTCAGGGGCTGCTCTGAACCACCTCAAACTTAGTCAACATTAGGAGAATGCCTAAATAAATTATTAAAAAAACACATAGTAGGATATTAAGCTGCTATCAAAGTTATATTATCATGAATTTTAAAAAATTGATACGGGAAAATACATGTCAAAAATCAAGATATTAATTAGCTTTATAGTGTTATCTCAACTCTTAAGAAAAATGATTGGAATGAAGCACATCAAAATATTTAATAGTCATTACTTTTGGGAGTAGGCTTATTTCACCCTCTTCATTCATTATATATACTATTTTTTTTTCTATAAGAAGCTTATGTAACTGTGAAAACAAGGCAGGGTGAATGTAAAAACGTCACTTTCCTGGCTATTGTTAACGGCTTCCATATGGTCTTCTAGACGCAAAAAACATGCTTCACACAGCTGCAAAAAATTACCTCACTGAAACTCAGGCCTAGTCACACTACACTCCTATTTTAAATCTTACTTGGCTTCTCATAACCAACAGCAAAATCCAAACTGCAAGGTCTTTCTTACTAGCCCAGTCTACCCACCCAGTTCGCTGTTCCATCTCAGCTCCAACAGACACTTTAAATGATCCCACTCCAAACTATTCAGAGCTCCCCAAATACATATTGCACACCCCTTTATCCTTCTACACTAAGCTCGTTCCACCCAACAAGCTGCATAAAACTGTCTTAGCCTTCATTGCCAGCTTTGAAACCTTGATTCATCTTGGGGTGACCCAGTAGAGGAGCTCAACTCTTTGTATACTCTTACCCTAAGAACACTTTTCATCTACCCAGGAAGATCACTTTATGTAAATATGAAGCCTCCGGAGGAATAAGAGAAGAGGCAACTCATCTACCCAGTCAGATCGACTGATTCAACTTGAGTCCATTGTGGTGAACAGGACCTAGCCAGATAAATTTTACCTTCCTGTTACCAGGCTCCCTCCTTCACCTATCTTGGTTATCCAAACAACTACACTCTTAATGTGCTAGTACTGTCCCAAGTATATAGCATATACTTGGAAAAAATGTTAGCTGCTCTCATTAATAATGTCAATAAGATTTCCTAACTAGCATGCATAAGGACTCTGAACTCCAGAACTGAAATTATTGCAACTATTACAATCTGTCCCACATTAATATATGAACTTACAAATTAGCACCAGGATACAGATGTGGATTCAGTGAGAGATGTATCAATGCCCCTTGAAGTCATCCTTACTCCACTGAACTCCACCCTCACTACACCCCTTTCTACATGTCAGGGTAGTCTTTTCAGTCTCCAAAATACACCATCGTGTGAGAGGATTTAGTTCCCAAAGACTTTATCTGAAATGAATGCTCTTTTACCATTTGCATCATTTCAGGAACATGTCCTTATGTTTCTTTCTCAGTTGCCTACCAGGCAGGAGGTTTAACTGAATGGTAGAGTATTTGCCTAGCATGCAGAAGGCTCTGGGTTCAATCCCTAACCACCCCCCGCCACACACACACACAAAAACACACAGCCTACCAGCAGGTTACCACATGATAATAACAAGAATTTATCTCTTACAATATGCTACACACACATAAGTTACGATTCACATAACTTATCTCATTTAAAATTCCTAATCAGCTGGGGATTTAGCTCAGTGGTTTCGCTGCCTGCTGTGCAAGTGCAAGGACCCAAGTTCGATCCCCAGTGCCAAAAAATAAAAATAAAAATAAAATTCCTAATCATTCTCTGCTTCACAAGATCAGAAATTAAGGCTCAGAAAAATTAAGTAATTTACCCAGTTTGGCAATATGGCAACTTAGCAACTATGGTGAGTCAGGAATTGAATCTATGTCCAATGTCTTAGTCACTTTCCTCATCACTAGGACTTAATACCTGACATCAGCAAAGTAAGGAGAGGATTATTTTTGCTCACAGTTTTTGTCCATAGTCCACTGGCTCCAAGGCAGGATAGCATACGGCAGAGTGGTATTGCAGAGGGAGAGCTCCTCACATTATGGCAACCAGGAAGCAGAGAGTGAAGAGAGCAGTTGGGGAGGGAGATAAACCCTTCTGGTCATGCCCAAAGTGACCCTCCCCTTCAGACCAGACCCTGATTCCTAACCCCAAGCCAACTCTACTGCCCCCATAATCCAATCACCTTCCAAAGCTGTGCCTGATTGCATGGGGATTTAGGGGGAATCTAAATATAAACCATAACATCCACCTTAGTTCAAAGCCCATGTTCTTAGACATCACACCTAGAAATTAAAACAAAAAGCAGAGGATGTGAGAGAGGGAAATTTCCTCAAATATTCAAGGCATCTTGGGTAAGACAGCCTGGGTCTACTCAGCATTCAAAACAGATCAAATACTATCATTGTCGTGAAGGTTTGACAAACTCCTTCAGGCATAATTAGTCACTTTTGTTCTCATGTAATTTTTGGTACTTCTTCTGCAATAGCTTACATGACTTGCTTCCTTGGGTTGTAATATAGTAAATTAGTTATACAGTATCTTTCTTCCACTCAAGATCTTGTCATATCTCTTTATTCCTTACTCTGTAGCACAGGGCTTTGCATATAGTCATTACCCAATGTTTGTTATTGATCTGGAGATTCCGGGAGATCTACAAAGAGACCACAAAGTTAAAACAAAAACAATCCACATCGATAAAATAAATGAGATAAAGTAAATGTCGGAGAGACGTATCTGCTTCATTAACTTACTGATAAAAACGTGTCATTAGGGCTGGGGATTTAGCTCAGTGGTTTCGCCTCCTGCTGCATAAGCACAAGGACCTGAGTTCGATCCCTTGTACCGGGGGAAAAAAAGTGCCATTGGATAAAGCATGATACAACCAAACTTTCAGAAATTTGGAAAACAATAAAAATGCCTGCTTCATTTTCAGTTTTAAGACTTAATTATTCCTCGCCTCTAGTCAATTACTAGAAAAATAGTTCAGTATATATTTTTTCTTTATTCCCAAATCAAGGCTACTGACAAAGAGAAAAGCAAAAGACAGGAAAAAGCAGATGCCCCTGGCATATAGTCAGCACTCAGGAAAATATTTAAATAAAATAACACTTCCAGCTCAGAAACAGTTGCTTTTGGGCCCCAAGTTTGTAACCACTGTCTGCTCTCCCATTTTAGGGGCTGTAGTTGAAAATGAGACTGTAAAAGGAGCAGTGAAAACTACATTTCCCATGATGCCATTGTTTTGCACGCAACAGCGCTACGACTTCGTTGCCATGGGAACTAAAGCGCCGGCATTCCCGGTTTATCTTGGAGCTCTTGGTTCGCGAGTTCCGGGCTGGGCCGCACACCGAGCACTCCGCGTTTGGGGCGGTCTGTCACAATGCCCAGGTAGTCCCACAACCCTGCCTGCGCCCCAAACCTCCTCTCCTTCCACCCCAATCTGGGAGGCCGCGGAGGGCACATTTGGGGACTGGGACCCCGCGCTGGCCCTGGTGAGGGGAGACGGCGGGTCTGCCCAGCTCGCAGTCCGCTCTGCATGGGCAGGGGCCCGTCGGAACTGTCCCAGAGCAAGACTCCCCTCAGACAGGTAGAAAAGTAAGGGATTTTGAAAGGTCAACTTCGTCCTTTCACTGATTCCAGTCAATAAAAATTTCTTGAGGGACTGCTGCAGGCGAAGGGAGTAGGGGGCAAAAAAAGCCCAAAAGCGCCTCCCCAGGGACCCCACCAACATTACCAGGTGGGATGTTCACAAGGCCAGTAAATGAGAGAGAACTTGGAAAGCGCCTTGGGAAGTGTAACCTCACGTTTAAGGGGAAAGAGGGTGATTGGTGGCCTGTAAAATACATTTGAGCTCTTCATTTCTATAAGGTCCATTTAAACTGCTGTACTGGAGATAATAGCTAGACCTTCTCTGAACTACGTGTCAGGGAGAGGGGGACAGAGCAGGGTAAATCTTTCACTTTTTGAATCGCGGTGATCGCTGTTGAATTTATGAACTTTAGAGTCAAAAAATGTCAGCTTTCCTTCACGTTGTCATTGATAACTGTTGTAAAGCTATGCTCCTAGTTACAAATCTCCACAAGAGGCATGCCTAATTACAGCGCCTCTTTCCTGTCTGCTGCATACGTGGAAATCAGATAATCAGGTTCTGAAGGAATGGTTTGTAAATGAAGAGCAGACAGCCCTAGACTGAGTACAGGGAGGCTCACTGTGAAATAAAAGGATGAATTTTAGTGCAGACATGTAAGTCCTCCTGTTTTGACTTTTTACATTCCTATTTTGGCCTTTTCTTTATCCCTGGTTCTTAACTAATAATAATTATAAGCTCCCAATAATTTTTGTAACTTTATAAGCCAGTACCTAAACTAATTGACCACATTATAACAATCACAACCCTCTAACGTTAGTATACTTTTAAAAAAAATTTTAGAGATGGAGAAAGAGTCTTGAGTCCAAGGGCAGCATTGGTTTGGTGCTCAGTAAATATTTGTTTAATTGATAAAGAATTGAAGGATCTAGACAGGTTAGTTAATTTGCATAGATTCAGATACATAAAAAGTAACAGATTCAAGCTAGATAGAACCTGTCAGGTCTTTTTAGTTCAATACAGTACTCCATTTTCACTTAGATTTATTTTTACAAAAGACATCATCTTGTACATAAAGGAATGAAAAAATGATTTTCAAAATGTGACTTTAAGTGACTTTTTTCCCCTTTCATCTTTATACTTTCATATTTTAGAAAAGAAATTTGGGGCCAAAACACAATTTTAGGAACTGAAAATAATGACAATCAAAAAAAAGAAATGTTTCAGGGAGCAAAGATTATTTGATATACTGGTTTTGCATATTTGTTGTTTTTCTAGATGATTTTTAAGTTGTGCATTTCCTTCAATTGTTTCCAAAAAACTAACATGTACAACCTTTAACCTTGCTGGGAAGCCCCAAAATAGACAACCTCAAATCCTGCTAGTAAAGGCTCTGCTTATCAGTTTCAGTATTCCTCAGAGAACTAGTTCAAAGGAAAAAACTGACTAATCCTCAGACATTTTACATGATTATTGTCCCCCAGAAAATGTTTTATTTTACAAATTTTACTGAGATAAAATTTCTCTGCTTGAAATAAGTGTTTAATTAGATATTTTTTGCTTCTCTGAATTTTGTTTTTCTGTCTGTCATGTAGTGAAACTCTCTGGGAAATTGCAAAAGCTGAAGTGGAAAGAAGAGGAAGTAATGGAAGTGAAGGGGATGGAGTTGGAATTGGAGACAAATCTGTTTTCTTCATTGGCAGTAAAAATGGGGTAAAGCTTTAATTTTTTTAAATTACTGAGGTGATATAACAACCAGTGGTAAAGCTTATTTTAATAAAAACATACTTTCAGCTGGGTGTGGTGGCACACACCTGTAATCCCAGCACTCAGGAGGCTGAGGCAGGAGGATGACTGTGAATTCAAGGCCAGCCTGGGCTACATAGTGAGTTAAAGGCTGGTTTGAACTACATGGCAAGACCCTGTCTCGAAAAAACAACAAAATTTATATACTTTCAACACTAACCAGATGACCAGTCTGGTTCAGTGTGAAGTAGAGAGTATTATTGATCTAGGAAAAATTATAACAGTAAACAAAATTTTGAAAACTTTTATCTATTGTTTTTTATTTCAAAATTTGAAAATATTTGGGTCTCCTATCTCAACTGAGTATACAGGGTTTAAATAGCTAAATGTAAAAATCTAAGTCAGCATCTAAAAATATTCATATTTTGGATTCAGATAGTTCACATGTCTCTCTAACGGAATAATTATGTTGCATCAATGATATTTATCAAAGGGTTTGAAAAATATGGGGGAAATAAGGCAGCCATTCTGCTGGACCATTGCTTGGTAGGAGAGACCCCTTCCCACTCACTGTCAGTTCTGTTGTACTTAGCCAGGAACGTAGAAGAATTTTGGAAGTGGCCACACACAGCAGTAACAGATGAGTCTTTTCTTCATGCAGCTGTATTGACACACAAAATTCCTGCGTGGGCGGCAGAACTGCTGGAGACACTGTCTAAAACAGGCCAAAGTTTACCACATCCAAGATGTTGAAGTTCATGTAGCATCCATAGCTTCTTTCTGTTTGGAGCTCATATTATTCAGTTTCTGTGCTTTGTGCTTCCTCTTAAGGCTATTAACAAATAGGAAGCTTTCAGAAACTACACTTTGCAGCAGCGTGACTACCTGTTGAGTGGGCAACATCAGTGTCTGGGCAGCCTGATCACCCCTCCCTGCACAACCAGACACATACCAAGTGGGGATGCTATCTACATTAAGATTATATTTATAAGGGGAAGTAAATACATAGCCATAAAAAGTTAGAGATGAAAGAAAATAATGTGAATTGAAAAAACTAGGGCATAAATTTTATACTATAATCTCATTTCTATAAATCTGCAAAGATAAAAAGTAGAAATATGGATGGTAAAATTTTAATCACTATTTTTGTTTTGCTTTTAATTTCTGTACTTTCTGAACTTTTCATATTGGCTTATTTTGCTTTTTAATATCTGAACTTAATCCTTTAACATAAAAGTATCATGGAGGGCCCAGGGATTTAGCTCAGTTGTTCTGCTGCCTGCCTCCCAAGCGCAAGGTCCCGAGTTCAATCCCTGGTACCAAAAAAAAAAAAAAAGTATAGGAATCATTTATATTTTAAATTTTTAACTCAATATAGTATGTAAGAACTTTGTTTCATGAGTTTACTATTGTGAGTGATTTCCATATTGGATATAATATTTTAATAATTTCCTACGTGTTATCCTACTGCAGTGCAGATGCACACATGGATTTGCATAAATGTAGAGATAATCAGTACTAGTCTTATGATACAAATACATTTTTATTTCAAAGTATATTCTTTATAAAGAAGCTATTTCCATACCCTTGACGATGGCTTATGATAATGCTACTGACCAGCAAACACTCACACCCACAGTGCCCCTGTGTAAGTTCTCTCCTAATCGCTTTTTGCAACAGTTGTTATTGGCTTCTTTATAGGTGTAGTTTGTTGTTTGTGAAACTACTCTTTTTCCTAATAGCAACATATTATCATATCCAAACTTTTTTATTTTAATGAAATTAAAGCTAATTTTGCTTTTGAACTGAGAATTCCCTTGAGATGTCTAGAACTTTTGAGGGTGTTATTCTTTAAAAAGTACCTGAATCTGTGCTTTATCCAGAGTACTGATTTATTATGGATAATAAAGAAAAGAAAGCAATTAATGCTGCTATGGTTCAGCTAACAGTAATGATGGTTTACCAAAGAAGTCAGCTACCTGCTGCCTCCTCTCCTTCTGTATCAGAGTTTAATAGAGTAACAAAAAAGTATATATATATATATATTACATATTATATATGTTGGTTTCTAAGTAGGATTTCAATGGCACCTGTGGAATTGGGGGTGAAAGAATGCAAAATGGCCATCTGTGTGCTGGAGGTCTAGAGGATCCAGTCAAAGGCCTGGAGTTCACTGCAGAGTCTGGTGTGAGTCCATGTCAGAAAGCTAAAGGGTCTGCATTGGAAACCTGAAGGAACTGGAGATGAACATCCAAAGGCAATAGTGGAGACCAGAGCTCTTCTGAAGAAGCAAGAGGAAGACATCCCTCTTCTTTCCCTTTTTATTTCATCAGGCTACAAGCCTATTGGTTGGTGCCACCCGCATCTGGAGTGTGTCTCTCCTCAGTTTGCAACCTGTTTGTCCATCATCCACAAACACACCCAGAACAGGGCTCCACTTATTCGATAGGGATTTCTTAATCCATTCAAGTTGACAACACCATTAACTATCACACTTTCCAACCTTGCATTTGTACATCATTCGGTAGACTTTCATTGTACATCTTTGGTGTGCCATGTATCCTGCTGGGACCTGTGGAAATAGAGATGAAGGGCATATTCTCTACTGTGAAGGAACCTGAGTTCTAGTAGTTGTATACCAGCAATGACAATAGCATGAGACAGATGCTATGCTGAATAGCAGGAAGGGCACCTAACCCTACCCAAGAGATTGGAAGACTGGGAAAGCCTGTGTGAGAGAGTGTGATGTCTACAGCTTGAAAGGCAAGAAGGAAGGGAAAAGAAGCAATGCATATGACAAGGGCCAAGTGAGTGTCCCAAGAACAGGATTGAAAAACTAAATACAACCTAAATGTTAGCAAATAAGGAACTAGCTAAATCGATTATAGTAGTCTATATAATAGAATAATGTGTAATTATTAGGAATGACAATATAGAAATATACTTATGTTGTAAGACACTTGTAATAAATTAGTAAGATGCTGTTTTTTAATTTAAAAATTTACTTTCCTGACAGATGTCATGGACACAACTTGTAATCCCAGTACTTGGAGGCTTGAGGCAGGAGGATCATGAATTTAGGGTACTTTGGGTTACACAGTGAGACCCTGTCTCAAACAACCAAAACCAAAACCAAATAAAATATTTTCCTGCTTTCTTTATTTATACATGTAGACACATACATATATACACACACATGTATACTTACTGTGACAGAAATAACCACACAAACAGAGCTAGAGGGATATCACTTTGTTATAGTGATTGTTTCTAGCTGATGGATTTGCAAGTAATTTACTTTTTTTTTTAAAGAAAAAAGTCAGGATTTCCTAATTTTCCTACACTGAACATGTATCATACATAGTATATTTTTAAAGTTTAAGTTAAAAAGTAACATATTCTATACACAAAGTATAGAGTTACTGTATTTTAGAATTGCAAGGAATTTCAGATATCTAGCCAAGTTTCTCAAATTCTTCCATTACCCAAGTATTGATTTAAATATTTTTATTATAACATAAACTCAGCTCTGGGAACTGCAGTCAAGTTTTAGGTTATCATCAAAATGACAATCCAAATTTTAAAAATTTTCTAGTAAACGTGGCCCCTTAAGAATATGTCCATAGACTCTTAAGAATATGTCTCTTGGGCTTCCTAATTCAAAAAATACTGACCTAGTACAAAATCATTTAGGCACCATCAAAATGAATCTCATCTTCCCTCCCATGATCTCAGTCACACCAGCAGTCCAGTCTTCTGACCCATCTGAATTCCATGGTCCCTTATGCATCCTTCATCTGACCCAGTGATCTCTTGTCCCCTCCTCCTCTGATATCCTTCCACCTAGTACCCCACTTTCATGACTGGCAAAATCCCTGAAGTCTCAACTTCTGAACATTTGGTATAACATTGGCCAATAAACATCTTTCAACAATAAACTACGTTGTTAATACTGTTCCAATTATTTTTTTCTATATCATTACAAAAAATTCATCCAATTTGATCATACTCCACCTATAATCTGGGTTAATTTATTATCTTTTTGGTAAAAATTATAGGCCTTTTACTTAAAAAGAAACAAATATAGTAAACTGTTGAGTTTTTCTTTCTTTTTTGGTACTGGGGATCAAACTCAGGACCTTGGACCTGCAAGGCAGGCATGGTGCCACTGAGCTAAATTCCTGGCCCTGTTGTGTTTTTCTTAATCCATGATTTTCCAAAATGTTTTCCTTGAAACCCAAAGATTTTCTCTAGTAAAATTTTTCCTGATGTTGCTTTATCTGTTTTCTTTTAAGGGGTTATTTTTAGAAAAGTTTTTCTATTTAAAAAAAATACTTCTCGGTGATTCAAACCACTGAGCTACTCTGTGGATAAGATGTGAAGTTAAGTTTTGTGGTTAGTGGCAGAGATGGGGCCAGAACTTATATTTCCTGACTCATAAAAAGAAACTTGAAATAAAAGTACATCCTCTAGAATCAAAGTACTCTAACCCGAGGCAGGAGTGCGTTCTGTGCCATGGCGGCACGGGGTTGGTGGCCGGAGAGGTAATGGTGGATGCGCTGCCATATTTTGATCAAGGCTATGAGGCGCCAGGCGTGCGGGAAGCGGCTGCGGCTCTGGTAGAGGAAGAAACTCGCAGATACCGACCTACCAAGAACTACCTGAGCTACTTAACAGCCCCGGATTATTCTGCTTTCGAAACTGACATAATGAGAAATGAATTTGAAAGACAGGCTGCTCGACAACCAATTGAATTGCTCAGTATGAAATAGTATGAGCTTCCAGCCCCTTTCTCAGGTCAGAAAAATGACATTACTGCGTGGCAAGAATGTGTAAACAATTCTATGGCCCAATTAGAGCACCAAGCAGTACGAATTGAGAATCTGGAGCTAATGTCACAGCATGGATGTAATGCCTGGAAAGTATATAACGAAAATCTAGTTCATATGATTGAACATGCACAGAAAGAGCTTCAGAAGTTAAGGAAACATATTCAAGATTTAAACTGGCGACAGAAAAACATGCAACTCACAGCTGGATCTAAATTGAGAGAAATGGAGTCAAATTGGGTGTCCCTGGTCAGTAAGAATTACGAGATTGAAAGGACTATTGTGCAACTAGAAAATGAAATCTATCAAACTAAGCAGCAACAGGGAGAAGCAAACAAAGAAAATATCCAGCAAGACTTCTGAAAAGGCTAACTTACTGAGTAGAAAGGAAGAAAAGTTGGGCTCTTACAAGCATCAGCCATCTAAACTATCCCTGAACTGTGAAGGACAACAGCCTCTCACAAAAACCATTAGTGGGTAAATGTTTAGAAACCATAATGTATGGATTATTATAATAATTGTATCGAGAATCTTTGTGAAATAAAGGTTATCAACTTGGTATTTTTATAGCTATAAAAAACTTAAGCTTTTTGGGCCGGGGATTTAGCTCTGGTTCGCAAGCTCAAGAACCCGAGTTCAATACCCCAGTACTAAAAACAAAAAAACCAAAAAACTCAAGCTTCCAAAATAAAAAAACAACAACAACAAAGTACTCTAACCCCATGTCTGAACTGCCTGTTTTTAACATAGTTGCAACATGTCCTTTATTTGTATGTTAGCTTTTTTCTTTATTTCCACTTCAACAATTGGAATGAAAACAATTTAAAAGACACTAATCACCAGCTTAACTAGTAATTAGCATTGTTGAATAGAGAGAAAATTTAAGACAGCTGCCAAGTTGACCGCTAAAGTAAGGTATGATTTGCCAATATTTGTCATCTGTGAGACTTTATAATTATAATAATAGCAGTGTAGTTACTCTGTGATGGAAAGTTGACAGTTAACTTTTTCTACTTATCAAACTTTGGAACAATTCTGAAAGTTTCTGGTTTTTAGTTTCTAGGTAATTTATCATTCAAGTGATTTAAAGAGCTATTTTTGGCCACAATTATGAACACTAATAAAATTTTATGTATGGATGACATTAAAACAGTATTCTTTCTTTTTGAATTTCCAGGGAAAGACTACTATTATTCTAAGGTGTCTTGACAGGTAAGTGTTATGTTAACCTTTCAAATTCATTTGCTTATACTAGTGTATAGGGAAAGTTAGAATCTAAAAGACACGGAAAGACAATGATTTTGAGACCCAAACAAATATCTTAATGAGTCCTTGGTATAACTTTTAAGAGCTTCTTTAAGGAACTAGTAGAACTAATGAGAAGTCAAAAAACACAGGATTAACATTGAGTTTCTCTGAGGGAAAAATGTTATCATAATTACTCTCGGCCTATGATAGTATTTACATTTTTTTGGCTATGTTACTTTGGTATTTAAGATATTTTATTCTATCTAATATATGATTATTTGAACAATAATTATAATCTTTAAATTACTCAAGGATACATTTTTGAAGCATAATGTTTGTCCTCAAATTGTATATTTTACCATTTGTTTTATATACTTCTAATGTTTTATGCTATAGAAGCATGCAATCAGATTAACCATTAGGATTATGATTGATAGATATGGCAGAAAGTTGAAAAGGAAAATCTTCAATCAATTGTAGAAGATATTTCTGTTCCCTTTATTCTAATTTCTTATAACTTTCTAAAAACATTAAAAGAAATGGAATTTGGTCTTAAGGTCACATTAAAGAAATATCATTCATTTGAAAAATATTATTGAAGAATACAAATAATAGAATCTTGGCTTTGTGTAATTCCTTTCACCAACAACATTGTGCCTTGGAAGAACTCTTTATACTGACACCTGTATCATCTTCCATCTCCAGAAATCACAGTTCTCCTTAGGCCACATTTAGATGCTTCCTATAATAAACAAATCATCTAGTTCAGGATGACATACTGTAAACTACTACACTGAATTAAAAATTAATTTTTCCCCCATTAAGTTTATTGGTACCTTTTAGGTATAAAATACAGTTACATTCATCATTGGGATCTTGTACCATTACATGAATATCTTGGTTCTTATTTTTTTCCCCTTCCCCTGCCCTTCCTTCACCCCCTCCACCCTTCCCTATTTGCAAAGACTTTGTTTCCAAAGACTTTGTTTGCAAAGACTTTGGTTTTTTTTTTCCTTTTCTCATATTTTTTCTTTTCCCTTCTTTCCTTTCCCCTACCCCTCCCACTTCCCCTGCTCCTTTAGACCTTTACTTCCTTTTACACAATAGAATTTTAATTTATTGATAGTCTGCTCAGAAAAAGAATAATTTTCTATATTGTAGGTTAAATATCAGATTTATAAATTTTTAAAAAGCAACATCTTGTTTCATAAAAAATTTTTGCCTTTCAAGAAATATAGTCAAATATTCTTTATATGAATCAAGAAAGATACGCAGAGGGCCGGGGATTTAGCTCAGTGGTACTGCGCCTGTCTCACAAGCACAAGGGCCTGAGTTTGATCCCCAGTACCAAAAAAGAAAGAAAGAAAGAAAGATACCCAGGGGAGAAATTAAAAATATTTAATAGATATAAAAGTACAAGTCACAAATTTAAAAAAAGGCAAAAGATTTATGCAATCTGAAGAGAAACCAGAGTATACAAGTCACAAATTTAAAGCTGTGTTTCTTGTTTGTTCTCCAAATTAAAATAAGTATGTACCAGTATAATTCCACCTTAAAGAGGAACTAAGTCCTGTCACATGCTATGGCTTGGATGAATCTTGAGAACATAATCCTAAGTGAAATAAGATAATAACAAAAAAGACAAAAATTGTCTGTTTCTACTTATATGCAATATCTAGAGTAGTCAAATGCATAGAAGCAGAAAGTAGAATGGGACTATGGGGAGGGAAAATGAGTCATTGTTTAATGGGTATGGAGTTTCAGTTTTGCAAGATGTGAAGTCCAGGAGACTGGTTGCAGAACAATGTGAATATACTCAATACTACCAAACTGTACATTTGAAAATGCTTAAGATGCTAAATTTTATTTGTGTATTTTACCACAATAAAAAAAATTAAATACGTAAAAATAAATATATACTATTAAACTATTTACCTACCAATGTAAAGTGTAATGTTCATCAAATCATTTTGATATTTTCCATATCATTTATTGAGTTTTAAGACTTGTTTACATATTTGTTCACAATGCTCGCCAGCCTAATGATGCCCATCTTTGAGCTGTGATTTCAGTTAGAAATCAATAAATTGACATTCATTAGGTTTTGAACTCCCCATATGAAGGCAGCATAAGCCTGGTGTCAGTACTTCCCCCTTGGCCCACATGTGGAGAGCTTGTGAGCCAACACAGCCGTGGGTACTGCCAGCCCCCTTGCCTTCTCCTCTCCCCTGTACAGGGGCTGCCCCATCATGAGGGTGCCATTGATCATCTGTGCAGGTGCCACTTAAAATCACTATGACAGTTGTTTTTGTTTCTTTGTTTTAGTTTTTTATAATAGTGGGGAGATTGAACCCAGAGCCTTCACACTGAACTATATCCCCAACCCCTAAAATCAATTTTTTGTAAAAAAGTGGTCTCATTAAGTTGCCCATACTAGGCTCTAACTTGTCATCCTCTGCCTCATCCTCCCAGCATTCTGGCATTCATTAAGATAGTTTTTAAAAGGCTTATTTATCTCTTATATAAATTTTTAAAATAATTTTTTACCTTAATGCTATGACTCAAGGTAACTTCTTTACTAATGAAGTTGTTAAGAGGAAGCAAAAATGAATGGAATAAGATGATAGCATCAGAAATTAATCCCACCCGGCTCCGGCTTGCTCCACTAGCTTTCCACCAGCCACCAGGACAGGGTGAGGAGGACCCCCCTGGGCAGGCCCATCAGCTGACAGCTTGGCCGCGCAGGCACCTCCAACAATACCCATATCCCCGGCCTCTAGCCTTTTGGCTGTGCGGCTACTTGGTTACACACTGCAGAGGCACAGGGGGACAAAAGCCATTGTCCTGAGCTCCAGAAGTGAACAACAGGGAGAGTACCTGTCTCAGGCTCCCTGATGAAAACAAGCCCACTGGAAAAGTGAAGGGAATCTCTGCAATAAAGGCACACCTGACCACCGTGTTTGGTAAGTTGGAGGGATTATCAGCTCCCATCAGAAACTGGACTTTCTTCGGGGGAAAAGCAGCTGAAACCTGCAGTAGAAACTTGCAGAGTGCAACCCTGCAGGAGGACAGGGAGCTCAACTTGGGACTTGCAACCAGAAATTTGCCTGAATCTCACAGGTCTGGGACTAGCTTACTGAGACTCATT